CCAAACCACCTGAGGGAACCACAGAGTGCCGAATCCTTCAAAAAAGGATCAAGAACATTTTTGTTTTGTTGTTTTTATGGTTATAACTCATTATTATGTGATTTTTATTGAAACTGTTAATTTATTTTATTTTTTTGACTCTTGCAATGTAGAACTTCAAGATTTAAAAATGTGAAGTGCTCTTGAATACATTATTATTTTTTATTTATTTGTTTGTTTTGCCAGATGAAATGTTTGAGAACCAGTTCTCATTTACAACTTTTTTCTTCTTCTTTCAGCTGCTCTCTTCTTCAGGGGTTGCCACAGCGAACTAACTCGCACGAAGACTTGACGATTGTTTTTACACCAGATGTTCTTCCTGACATGACCACAGACCACCGAGCGACCACAGCCCTCAGTGTGGAGCAGAGAGCTGCCATCTAGGGTGCCCGAGGGGAGCAGATGGTGGGGGTTAAGGGTCTTGCTCAAAGACCTATAGTGGAGCAAATGAGGGTGGAGGCAGGTGTGAGTACTTCACCTTTCCCAGCCACATTCTGATGTTGTTCGGGAGGGGTTGAACCAGCGAACTTCCGATCACAAGCTTGCCTTCTCTAACCTCTGCACCACCACTTCCCCAGTTCACATTTACAAACATTAACTGGAAAAGTTTAATTCTCCTCAGTCAGCAACAAAGTTTCTGACACTCGTGACAATCAAAACCCTTCAGACGATTCAGAGTCCGAGTTATTCTGTGAGAAAATAACAGGATTAATAATCCGAGTTTATTATGTGATCACATTTAGTTACTCAGGATGAAGGTTAAGGATGAAAGGTTTAATCTGACGTATTAAACACAGATTGGTGTTTCACGGACAGGAGGGTTAGCTGACACCGGTTTTTGTACCTGTAGCCCCAAATCGCTCCTCGAAGTGAAAAAACTCTGAGGAATCTTTAGGTAGAAAAAAAAGGTTCAAACCAACAGCTGAGAGTAAAGACTGAGCAGGTTTAGGTAAAGAGAACCGGACCCACCTCTACAAATAACCATGGGCTCTGCTTCTGGTACCAGAACCAGTGAATCTGGGTAATCTACAGATTGGCCACAAATATTTTTATTATTATTATTAATCACTGTGGAGATTAAAGAGTATCTGAAAGTGTTTAAAAGACAGACTTTTTAATTAAATGAAAATCAAAACGAACGAGCTTACCCTGAGGAACCTTCTCTAACCCAATTTCTGTGAAAGGACAGGGAGGAGTTAGAGCTGCAACCAGCGAGGAACGCTTCAGTCATCATAAGATCAACCTACAACAGCTGCTGCCGGCTCAAACCTACACACCTTTTCCTGACAGGTAAAGTTCTGCTGTGCTTCGAGCTTCTCCCATTGGGTCCAGACGAGCGATCACCGAGTAAACGCCTGAGAAACAACATCCAGCTGTTTAGATGTTTACTTAATATCAGCTGCTTTCTTTACAGCCAGCTGTTCACATATTTAATTTACTCAGCTGCATAAATAGATTTGTGTTTTTGAAAATACTTTCACGTTAAAGTTCCTTTCCTGACATTTTCTGGAGCTTAGAATCTCAGACGGTTGATTTCTTGCAGCCTCATCATATATATGTATGTATATATATATATATATATATATATATATATATATATATATATATATTTTTTTTTTTTCTCCTGTTTCTATTTCTACATCAATCCAAAATCTTCCTCTAGTGGAAAATAAAATGCTCTTTGTTGTTTGACAAACCTTCGTCCTCTGCAGCGACGTTACAGATGGTCATAAAGTGCCGCCGGCCCTCGGTCCTGAACGTATATTTGAGGCTCTCTTTGAGCTCCCATGAGTCTTTGTACCATGTGACGGTGGCGTTGTCAAAGGACAACTCGCACTCAAAGGTAGCAGATTGGCGTTGGTCGACCTCGATGCTTTGGATGCATTTAGTGAACTGAATTTGGTCGGCTAAAACCAGAAGATCAGAGTCAAAGTTTACCTTCAGGTTCATGTTAGTTTGAGCAGCAGACTGTTCTGACCACAGGTGACCACAGAAGCGTTCAGATCCCTACTGGACTCTTTGAGTGTTTAAGGTGAACTGATTTGAAGAGGTCTGTTTTACAAGAGTTGGTTCCGAGCCGTGACTGACATGTCAGCAGCTCTTGATCATCAAACAGAAGACAGGCACAACATTAAAGACAGCATTACAGACAGCTGACAGGGTCCCGAACAGAAGAAGACACGTTTGGACTCTTACCAGTGACAGTGAGTTTGGCGTTGGAGATGTGAGAACCACAGACCACGCGGTAGTTGCCCTGATCTTTCACCTGGCAGTTCTTGACCTTCAGATAATGGCGGTCACCCATGCTGCTGATGTCATACTTGGCGCTATTGTCCAGTTTCTGTGTGCCCTTGTACCAAGTCAGAGTGATCTCTGGGTAATTGATTCTGATCTGACACTCGAACGTGGCGGTCTGGTTCTCTGCACTGATCTGGTCACTGATGTCCTCGATCACAGAAACAGGCTGAGGACAAAATAATACATTTGAACATTTTCTTATGTCTAAGTACTTTAGAGCAGGGTGCCAAGTGTGACTTTTGAGAGCTCTGGTGTTTACCTCGGCTGCAACGCGTCCCTCTAACTGTTCAATTAGCTTGGCCATGTCTTCTTCTTCAACCCGACCACCGTGCTCGACCCCCTGCAGTGGGACAGATAGATGATGGTACAACTGCAACAACCAAGGAATTCTTCACTTTGAACCCTGCAGAACAGAGATCTGACTGAACCTCACCTATAAATATGTACAAACCTTTGACTGAACAGAACTGAAACACCAAGTCTGTAGTTGAAACTAAATCTCGATACCAGCCTTAAATGTCCTTTTAAAGATAAAAAGTGTTAACTTACTTTTTATGTACGTATGTGAATGTTTCTGTTCAGTGCCCTGAGATGACTTCTGTTGTGACTTGGCGCTTTATAAATAAACTGAATTGAAATGAATTAAAGGGTCAGAGTTTGGGTCATTTGATTCCCAAGTTTTAAAGATTTCTCAACCTTCGTTCATTCAAATTCAGCCCTGGATGTAACTTCTAGAAGCCTTTATCCAAAAGCAAATATTTAATTTGAACAAAAAGATTGAAGCCTAAAGAACAGAATGTACTCATCACTTAAGACCCAGATTTGAGTTCTGACCTGTGGACCTTGTTTAGATTAAATCTTTAATTGCTTTCTAGTCCTGATTTGAAAGCCCAGAAATATGTCTTTAAAGGATTCAAATCAGAAATCAGCCAGAAACCACTGAAGTGATGGGTTTTGCTTTTAGTTGTACCACTTTTCCAGTTTCCATCTCCTTCTCCTTCTTTAGGAACTCCACAGCCTGTAGGATTGCTCTGAAGTCAGTGATTCCATGTTCCCGTAGAATCCTTTCATAGTCTTTAGGGTCATGGCCTCTGAGTAGATCTACAATACTGATCTCTTCAAGTTTCTTGGGACTTTTTTGTTTGGAAGGAGTCCTGAAAAAATATGAAAATCATAAAGTGATGCAATATCTTCCAGTCATGAAGATGCAAATGAAGACATCTGTTCTCTCTAACATAAATTACATTCACTGTTTAGTTTTTAAGGAAATAAAGAAATTGTTTTTTACTTCTTGAGTCTTGTTCTTATGTCTCCAAATCCTTCCACTTCTTCCTTTTTGGAAACTTCAATTTCAGCACCACATTCAATCTCTCCATGTTTGTTTGAGGCCACACATCTGTAGAGACCAGAGTCAGACTTGGTCACCTCTCTGATCTCCATTTTGGCATCCTGTCCTTTGTGCTCAATGGAGATACGACCACCAGGGGTGATCTGCCTCCATTTGCCCTTCATCCACTTCACACTGGGGATTGGATCTCCTCCAATCTTGGCGATGAAGGTGGCGGTGCCCTCTGAAAATGAGACAAACAAGAAAGTAGAGGACCAAATTTCTGGTAACGAGAGATTTCAGTGTAGAAGGAGGGATGGTCTTACTCTCTGTGACGGTAACATTTTGGGGTTCCTCGATGAAGAACAGATTGTCGAGTCTTTTGGCTGGGGCAGCTGCAGCTGGGGCAGCAGGTCCTGTGGGGGCTGTCTGTACTCCTGTGTCTGAAAATAGAAGGTGCATGTGAGTGCAACGGAGACTCAGACCAAGACACTGAAAGTTTAAATCCTAATCAGTAGGACATCTTCATAATCACTAGAAAAAATTGATAGTCCTCTATTTATAATGATTATTCTCTTACACTTTCTATAAAGAGAAAAAGGAGAGCTGATGCTCATTGTAAGACTTATTGTGTATTTTCCAGTTTTCTCAGTTGGTACCTGGAGTAAATAATTTGCATGTGAAATGTTTGGATGTACTGGATTTATCTGACTGTCACACAGTTTTATGTACTCTTATAAAAATACCCTTTATATAGTTAATTTCACAACTGTGGCCTTCTCAGGTCACAGGTCACAAGTTCTCAGGCTCCTCTTTAGTGGAACCAACTTCCAGTTTTTGTCCATGATGCTGACTGTCTAATTTTAAGACTGGACTGAAGACTTTCCTGTTTAATAAATCCTGTATTTAGTGTTGCTCTGGTTTTCTGATCTTTCCATTAGTTCTACTTATTTAGGATTAGACTTCTGAAGGACAAACTGATCACATCTTTCTCGGCCTAGCCCCTTTCATGTGTACCTGGGTAAAGGACTTTCGCACCACCTGGTCCGAGACTGTGAAACTCTGCCAACATCTTACCTCCACTCGCACTCTGAGCACCGGCTCACAACAGGGCTATGTGCTGAGCCCCCTACTATATTGTTTCTACACCCACAACAAGTTAGGATATCCACATTGCTGCAGAGCCTGTCTTGTGTGGGATCTCTCCTTTCCCTGGCTCCAGAAAAGTTAGGAGTCATCAGGACTCTGTAGCACAAAGTGGACAGCATCCCCACTAACTCTGGAGCCAGGGAAAAGGAGAGATCCCACACAAGACAGGCCCGGGAGCAATGCGGATAACCTAACTGGGCCTTCCTGAAATTGGAGAAGAAAACCAAACAGGACTCCAGCCAGCCATCAGGTGAAAAGGAGAAACCCAGACCAGTGGTCATTCTGTATGTTGCAGGAGTTTCAGAGAAACTGAGATGTTTACTTTCTAAACATGACATCCCAGTGGCTTTCAAACCCCAAAATATATTACCACAAAGACTGGTTCATCCCAAAGATCCAGTCCTCCAGCACAAACAGATTAATATTGTGAATGCTGTTCAGTGCCAGGAGGGCTGTGATCAGTCAAACGTCACGGAAAATAAACAGCCACTGGCCAAAAGGATGGTCCAGCACAGAAGAGCAACATTGTCAGGCCAGGACTCTGTGGGCTACACTTATCTCAGGCCAGCAGTCACTCTTTCAGGGATGAAGATGTGCACATCCTTAATAGAGAGGAAAGTTGGTTTAAGAGAGGAGTCAAGAAAGCCATTTTTGTGAAAAGAACTCATCCATCCATAAACAGAGGCGGAGGCCTCCGTGTTCAACTGTCCCTTCTTACAATGCTGTTAGTGTTAGTATCACTCAGCCCTCTGTGAATAGCAAGAGGCCATCAGGGCACAAAAGATCAATTGTTAGGCTGATGGTCCTTCTTTATCATGTGAACAACTAGTTCTGGCTGCCAGCAGCAAACTGGGTGATCCACTATAAGAAGGTTCAGTTTATAAGACTGTTTGTTGCTTTCCTCAAACTGAACAAGTCTTTTAAATAAAAGACGAAATGTTTCAACTACGAAGAATCTGTCCAGAGGACCTGACTTAACCTTGTTAAATAGAATTAAAAAACTACATTTGGACCATACATATTAACCTGGCTATATTTTACAGATACGTCTGGTTACCTTTTACAGTGACTTTGGATTTGCAGAAGTCACTGCCGGTAGTGTTGCTGGCTTTGCACAGGTAATCTCCTGCATCAGTTGTTGACACAGATCTGATCTCCAGGGAGGCTGTACCACCAACAAATGTGACTTTGGTGTTGTCACTGGACTTCAGCTCCTTCCTGTCCTTCATCCACTGTATGGTAAGAGGTGAGGATCCTTTCACGTGACATTTGAGGCTGAGCTTGTCTCCCTCATTTACCGTCACCGGTTCCAGAGGAACATCAAATTTGGGAGCCTGGGCAGTTTCTGAAAAAGTGATGGCAGAATAGCAGGATTTCAAAGACCTGGTTTTCAGGTAACATCATGGCACTTTGGGCCACTTGTGCAGTTTCTGATAGAAAACAGGGTAATTGAGGTTTTAAATTTGATGCCAAAAAACTGGCTGTAATCTTGATTAGACAAAGTAATGTCCAGTCATTTGAATAATGTTTTTAGAGATTTAAGGTTCTAATAGTTGAAGATTAAACTTTGCAAGAACTGAGTGAGTTTCAAACAAACCAATTGTCCTCAAAAAGACTAGAAAATTAAAGTAAAACCCAACAAAAAAATATGGCCCAACTGATTTTAGAGAACAGATGCATTCTTACCTGAAAGTGTGAGAGAGACCTGACATGAAGCTTTGCCTGCTTCATTGGAAACCTCGCAGGTGTACAGACCACTGTCTGGAACGATGGAGTCTCTGACACACAGAATGGCCATGTTGTTCTTCAAACTGATGTCATATTTGTCAGAGGCAGAGATCTCCTTATTGTCTTTATACCAGGTGATGGTCAGTGGCTGAGAGCCGGACACCCGACCCTCCATCTGTACGACCTTACCAGTTGAATCCACCATGGTCTCAGGAGGTCTCTTGGTGAAGTTTGGAGGAACTTTTCGTTCTGTTGTGAAAGGTACAATGAAGAAAATCAGGTTGTGACAGTGAAAATTACCTTACTGTACATTCGTAAGTGTATCCTTTACCAAGGCCTCTGAGCCTTTACCATAACTTCAGAAAGAACAACCCATTAAAACAGATAAAACAAACTTGTTAAACAAAGTCAAAGAAATAAAGGATATACAAACACTACTGCCTAACCATCAAGCATATTTTACCAGAGCCCTGTGAATATCTGCTCTCAGACACCTGTGATACCTTAAAGTACAACTTTGTTTCCAATCAGACACAAAACCAGCCAGTCCAAAAATAATCTCAAACACCAACCAGGACTTCTTACAACATATCGGCCTCTGTTACCAATAAACTCACAGAAACACCTGCATTTTACAGATTACTGGAGATGAAGATGATAGTGAAGTGAAATGAGCTGGTTAGTGTGTTACCTATTGTTACCCTCTTGTAACTTCATCCTGCATTAGAAATGTCACCGGTGTATTATCCAGCAGCAGATCTGTCATTGTTGAGTACCTCCAAACACTGGAGGACTTGGAAGATGTTATGCTGTACAGGTAAGAAACTTCTCATTCCTCTCCCACTTGGCTTCCAGTGTATGTAAACCCAAACCTCAAGGATTGACCCAGTTCATGAATGACATCCTTTAGTTTTGTTTTTTTTTTACAAATTGTATGGGTTTTGAAAGAAGTAATGTTGACCACCAATGTTGGTGGTTTCTGTGTGGTACCTGAAGAGAGCTGAAAATCTATGTGTAGGAAGACAATCTTTGTGGGCGGACAACGTTCGAGCTGAGCATTGAAATTCAGAAATGTTACAGACCTTAAAAAAATAGCTGCGTGAGTGGAGATAGTATTCTCATAAGAACTTGCTCACTTCCTTCTTTGAGTAGATAATGATAACTTTAAGTTCAGAGTTGTTGGCTACTGTTACCTGATTTGACATGGACACAACAGGCATCAGAATCTTGAATACTGAAAGTTTCACAAGTTTATTTGCCCTAGTCCTTGTCTTAGTTGCTGCTCAGAATTTCCAGCACGTAGCTGCAGTGTGCTGTGTTGAGAGGATAGTGATAAAAGGCCCAAATCATCTTGCCATCTTTCCTCTACCTCATGCTTATTATTGGTTTACTGATAAATCCAACTCTAAGCCTCGTGGACCACAGGTGAACACGACTCTGAGCATCAGTGCTTTGACAACTGTGAAAATGGTGTTCTCTTGCTGATGGAGCAAGCAGATTCTGTAAGAGGCAGTGATGAATGACAGATATCCAAGCTAATGATGGGTATTTGTAATGCAAGAAAAAATGGCTAAATGTAAACTATCTTGAAGGGATGTATATTGCCTACTGCAATTTCACACCAAAGTTTTAAGCAAAGCTTTGGCGCAATCTCGTTCCTCAAAGTACATATTTGGTATGACTCTCAGCTCCTACCACTCCAAATCTGAGCTCAATGTCTGTAAAACTGACTGTCATAGCAGGTTTTTTTGTGTTTACTAAGGTTGATTAGCTGTAGTGGTCATCTTAAGTCAGGTTTACTTCAACAGATTATAAGTTGTTCAACCAATAATTCCTTCCAGAGTTTCATTAAATCAGTCCTGTGGTTTATGACATATTTCTTTAGAAGGTTGATTCTGGATAAACTGAGGAGGTTCTGGGACTTTAAAAAAAAAGGTTCAGTTACGTTCCCCAACATAAAATAATACCCGAGCATCACTGTGATGGATGAAGGATGAAAATGTTATTGGATGCAGTGAAAGATGACTCAAACAAAGAGATTCATGGGAAGAAAAAAGAAGTGAAATGAAGATAAAGCGTGAAACTGAAGAAAAGGATGGTCTTGACAATGAGCAATGATGATGGTGGCCAAAAAAATAAGAGTCCAACCTTTCACCAACATCTCTGCTGCAGTTTTCACCATTCCTGCTTCGTTGGTAACTTGGCAAGAATAAACTCCACTTTGTAGAGCTTGAACTGCAATGAGCTCCAAGGAAGAAGAGTTTTTCTTCAGACTTATTGCACACGATGCTCCAGCAACAAGTTCAGCATCATCCTTGAACCATTTCACTGTAAAGGGGGGAGTTCCTTCAAAGACAACTCTGAAGCTCACGTCAGAGTTTGGAGTAACATTCTGAGCCTCGAGTTCAGCTGAAAATCTTGGCGCCACTAAAATCCACGCAGAGAAATTATTAAGATACATGATTTCAAGCTTCTCATTTAATCAGAAAATGTCTGAATGCTAACCTTTAGCTGTAAGAACACCGCTGCACACACAGCTGCCTGCTTCATTTGTAACTTTGCAGGAATACGTTCCTGTATCACCACCTTCACTCAGCTTGAACTGCAGTGAGACTGTTCTTCCAATCTGCAGAAGTTTGTACTTTGGTCCCTCACTGATAGTTTGTTTCCCTTTACACCATTCAGTTAGGAATGGAAGAGAACCATCCACTTTGCATGCCAACGTGACCTCTGAACCCATCACTGCTTGGAGGTTTGCTAGTTTCTTTATGAATGTGGGAGGAAACACCTTGTCTGTGTCAAACAAAATTAAATAATCATTAGATATTTGTTTATCAAGGCCTGAAAAACATTTCTCAAGCTCAGACTTAGGAGCTCCATAACCCTAGATTGTTTTCATTTTAGAGGACTAAATATTAGGATGTTTGGGTTTTTCTCATTTTCCATTTATCTGGGACTGTTTGAAATCAATTATTCATTCCTGAATGATTCTTACTTGAGGAGTTTCTTAACTAATATTAATCTGACTGCCTAAAGCAGTGGTCCCAACCCTGCTCCCTGAGGAACACCATCCTTCATGTTTTAGTTGTTCATCTGCTCCAGCACACCTGATTTGAATGACAGGTGATTAACAGGCTTCCGCTGAACTTAAAGAAGTAATTAAACCACTGAATCAGGTGTGTTAGAGCAAAGAAACAATTAAAACATTACATGAAAACATGATGTGTGTGAAATCAGAACCAACACAACCTCCAATCTTACCACTACACACAGGTAAGTCCAGCGTCTTCAGACATGGTTCTGTTGGCCAACAAATGCAGCCATTTCATCATGGTTCAAACATAAAATGATGTAAATTAAAACAAATTACAGAGTATTTAGAATGTGCTCTAACCCTAAATGTGTTATATCCCAGAGCACTGAACCCGTTCTGCACTGGTTCTGTCTTTGTAGGTGTATCTGCTGCTGGTTTTAATGTCCAGGTGTTTGATCTCAAGAAAACATAATTTTAATACAATCAGAGTTTGTATTTTTCAGTCATGTGGACTTCTGTCGTATCTTTGTACAGCTGTATTGTTTTAGATTGATGATGAACAAATGATACTTTTATACCTTCAGTCTCCTTTAATCTTCATGTAAAAGATAATTTTGATCCATGTATTAATCAATGATTTTTGTATAACGAAAAAGGGAAACAATTTTCCACGAAAGACAAAAAAAACATTAAGAAATGCTTTACATATTAGTAACATTACAACATCTGAACCCTTAAAGGTGCATCAACACTATAACTCGTCAGTGTTTGGATAATCCTGAGCACTGGACTGGTTTCTGATTGTCACATGATTATTTTCTATCTAGACTTGGGTATCTTGGTGTCTGAGAACCTGTGTTCAAGCCTCAACAGGTCACTTAGTGTTACACTGACTGGGTCAGTCCATATTTCCCTGACAGATGTTGAACGTTCTGAAGATCCCGGCTGTGGAACAACATGGGACACAGCTAAAATCAATGTGTTAATGAAGCTTCAAACTGGACAAGAAGAAACTGCAGTTAAGACACAAGGAACACATATCTGACAAACCTGTGACCATGAGAACGGCGGCACATCTCTGAGTCCCAGCTCTGTTCTGAGCCTCACAAATATATTTCCCAGCATGAGATAATTGAACATTTGTCAAAGTCAGCTCAGCATTGCCCGTTTCATAGGACATCTTAACATGCTCATCCTCAGTGAGCTCATGATTATCCTTGGTCCAACGGACAGTCATAGGGAGTGATCCAGACAATAAGCACTTCATATAGATTTCAGAGCTCACTATACAGGACATGTCCTGCAGTCTTTGGACAAATGATGGTGGTTCTAGTGGAAGAAGACCACAGATAAGACTACAGGTTCCAAAATACAAATACATTTATCTTCCAGATCTGATGATCTGTTGACAGTCTAAATAATTATTTAAAGTCAGAAAAATACCCATTAATGAAAATGATGCATACAAACACTGCTTTATGAAAACCCTGAAAAATACTTGAAATTATAGACAAAATCATTATAAAATTGGGAATTTGGTTACAAGAAGCTACTTGGGTATGGTTAAGATGGGGAATAATACACTACCTAGGCACAGTTGGGAAACTACTTGGAGAAGACTATATTTGGAACAGGATCATACTTGGGTAAGATTAAAATGAGGAACAAGAAATTTCTTGGGTGAAGTTAGAGTTGGGAACAAAATAACAACTTTGACTGACCTTTCAAAGAAATCTGGCAAGAACAAGATGCCTCTCCGACATCATTTGCAACAATGCAGTGATATGTTCCAGCATCCCTGGTGTCACAGTCTGATACCTGAAGAGTGACTTTGTCTTTAACCACATTGACTTGATGTTTTTTGTCACTTCGGATCAGTTTCTCATTGAGGAAACAACTTATTTCAAAAGGAGGAGAACCTGAAATGGTTCCTTCCAGAATAATGTCTGATCCTGTCACGAGCTCAGTTGATTCAAAAGGCCTCACAATCACTGGAGGCTCTATAAGGAAGATGATAAGATCATTTTTAAAACCACTGTCTGGAGAAACGTTCCAGTCAGATGAGGCAAGTCCAGTCCACAAAGTTTATAAAAAGTTAAGGTTATACTTAGTATTCCAGTCAATTTAATGCCTGGGTTTGCCATGGCCAATTCACAAAAGTATTTTAAATTTTCCACTTTAAGCTAAGAATTTCACTTGTTTGTGAAACACAAGATGGTTTGACTTACATTTCATCCAATAATCAGTCACCGATCATTGGGAGGGAACTTATAGACAGGTTGTCCTCTAACAGCTGACTGAGGAAGACTGGATGGTAACCTTACCAGGAATCAAACCCACAGCTTCACACAGTGATAGAGTGAAGTGTGTGTGTGAGACAGTAACCTGAACTGCACTGGTTGAAACAATGTGGATCAGACTTTGCTCCATGAGTTTATGTAAAACAGAAAGGGTCTATTCTGTGGAAGACTTCCCGATATTGAACTAACCTTTCACGGTTACTGAGCAGCTGCACTGGTCTCTGCCAGCCTCACTTGATGCCAAACACACAAACTCTCCATTATCCTCTACACAGGAGGTTTCTACCTCCAGACAGGCTACTGAGCCATCAAAAGACATGCTGTATCGGTGGTCAGCAGTGATTTCTGATCCATCTTTAGACCACGTGACAGAAATGACAGGAGTTCCCTGAACTTTGCAAGACAGCTTTAGAGGCTGCCCAGCTTTCAGCAGTCTTGAAGGCTCAAACTTCATTGTAAATGTGGGCGCTTCTGTAAATCAACAAGAACATTTACAGTAAAGACAAGTCCTGTAGAGAGAGAAGGGTTTTGCTGATGAAAGACAAACAGCACCTTTCACGAAGAGGACGGTGGTGCAGTCCACCTTCCCAGCATCATTGGATACTTGGCAGGTATATTTAGCAGAGTCACTGGGTTTCACTGCATGAAGCTCCAAAGAGCTTGAAGAGACATCTTTTTTAATGAAACACTTCCCTCCAGTGAAAATCTCTTTCTCCTCTCTAAACCATTTGACAACCAGTGGAAGGGATCCAGTAAAGGTTGCCATCATCACAACATTAGATCCTGGTGAAACACTCTGGGACTCTGGTTTCAGTGTAAATTCTGGACGTTCTGAAAAACAACAGCATGCCGGTTCAAGGCCCATCTGTGCCATGCTCATCTCTAGTTGTTGTCACAGTTTTGATGGCATTTAAACATCTCTCACCTTTGACCGTCAAGGTTCCGCTGGTCTCGTTTTGTCCAGCCTCATTAGAAGCTCGGCAGGTATAAACTCCTCCATCACCTTGATCAAGGCCTGTTATTGTCACAGAGGCTGCACTTTCACTGAAATCCAGTTGATATTTATCATCACTGTGGATTTCTTTATTGTCTTTGAACCAAGAAACAACCATTGGATGAGATCCAGCAACCCTGCACTCCAAGGTGGCATTACTACCAACACTCCCATCTATTTTCTTTAGAGTTTTAGTGAAGGACGGTGGAACTGCCCGATCTGTGTAGGGGAATAAACCAGTCGCAGAACCGTCAGCAAAGACCAGGATTTAATCACATTAATGATTAACTCTTGTCTGTTACCAACCTATAACGGTCACTGAGCATGTGCACTCATCTTTTCCGACTTTATTGGACACCTCCATCTTGTACTCTGAAGTGTCTCCTCTTTCTGCTGAGAGAATCTTTAGAACAGCAGTGTTCTCCTTCACTGCCATTTTATATTTACGCCCACTGATCATCTCCTTGCCATCTTTGAACCATTTCACTTTGAGGTCAGGGCTTCCAGAAATGGTGCACTCCAATGAGGCCATGGCACCAGCCGTGACACTGATGGATGCTGCTTTCTCTATGATCTTAGCTGGTTCTAAAGTACAATACAAGCTTTAGAGTTCATCAACTTACAGGTATATTGTGAAAATATTCCTACTGAATAATATTCCTAACCTTGAATGGTGAGAACAGCCTCACATTTCTGCTGTCCGGCCTCATTTACAGCAAGACAGGTGTATTTACCACCATGTTTTATCTCCGGACAAGAGAAGGAAATACTCGCAACATTATTCTCAAACGACATATTGACTGTTGGATCATCATCTCTTAGCAGCTCAGAGTCCTTCATCCACTTGACAGAGATTGGAGCTGAACCTTTCAGGACTCCCTGAAGTTTCACTGCAGTCCCCAAAACTGCTGTAGCACTTTCAACCCTTTTTGAGAAGATGGGCGGCTCTGAAATAGCAGGATTAATCAAGATAATGTTAGAGGACTAAGCATATCCCGAACCCATGGTGGCAGTTGGTCCAGGTTCTGCTGCACTAACCTTTCTGTTTAACTGATGACTTTGAGATCACCGACCCAACCTCATTTGAAACGACACACTCGTATTCACCAGAGTCAGCACTCTCAAACCTGTGGATCTCCAGAGAGGTCAACGATCCCTGTGACACTATTCTGTACTTTTTATCTGTAGACAGGCGTTTCTTATTCATTTTCCAAGTCACATCAAACGGTGCCGACCCTGCAATCTCATACTCCAACACAGCCACTGATCCCCTCACTGCCTCTATGGAGGGTACATCCTTTTTAAAACATGGAGGTTCTAATGGGGAACAAATTGTTCTGTTAGAAAAAGAATCCAATGAGGAAAAAATGGTTTTGTTCCAAAATGGACAAAGTTTGTGTACCTTTTACAATTACTTTAGTGCTGCAACTCTCACAGCCAGACTCATTGAGCACCTCACAATTGTAGTTTCCGCAGTCACTCAACATGACATCACTTATCTCAAGGGTGGCAACACCATCCTTAAAACTGGCTGCAACTCTGCCACCAGCAGGCAGCTCACTGTTATTGAAAAACCAGGTTGAGTGAAGCTCAGGCGATCCTTTTACGGTGCATTGCAGCCTCGCTGTGCTGCCCTGCTTCCAAACTGTTGTTGCTTCCAGCCTCTTTACAAAGACTGGTGGTTCTGCAGAAGCATGGTTGGTCAGAGCCATCATTAAAGACATCAGTCAAAAACAAGCCAGCATTTAAAGAGAAATACATCACTTGTTTGGAAGAGAAAGACAAGTGTATTTGTTTAAAACAAGCTGCTGATTTCCAAAAGTTTCAAACATTCCAGAATCTATTTAAGACAACCTTACCTTGGACCTTCACTGCAGTGGAGCAAGAGGCACTTCCAGCCTCATTTGTCACCATACACACATAATTTCCACAATCTTTCAGTGTGGTTTTTAGGATATCAAGATTTACTGTCTTGTTCTCAAAAGACAGTTTACAATCTGGAGACTGGTGGACTTTTCTACCATCTCGGGTCCAGGTGACAGTTACTCCAGTGTCTTCATTCACCTGACAGTCCAGGTGCAGAGGAGCTCCAACCACAGCAGCAACTGGACCCAGGGGCTTTACAAAGTTGGGCTTATCAATAACTTGCAGCTCCATGCTGCATTCAGCCGTCCCAACATCATTAGATGCTCTGCACACATACAGCCCCTGGTCTGCTGCCTCAAGCTGGAGTATTTCAAGAGAGTGCTTATTTTTTTCACAAGAAGTTTGGTAGTGTGCAGGCACTGAGGGCAAAACCTGGTGGTCTTTGAGCCACACAACATTCAGAGGAGCAGAGCCTGCTATTGCACATTGTATCAGTGCCCTCTTTCCAACATACACAGTCTGTGTGTCAGGTTTACTTAGAAAAGCTGGAGGGAATTTCTCTATAAGGATCAAGAAGAAACAAAGACATTAGTGGTAAAATGTTAGACTCTGTCGTAGCACTTTAACCAAAACCTGTCACTTGGATAACATCAAATCAGGAGGGCTTGAAGTAACTATAACATTATTTGCAATGAAGCAAACCACAGAAAATCTGAGGAGTGTCTAAATGACCATGAAATACCAGATGAATTCCTGAGGGAAATGAAACATGTCTGAATAAGCGTCTGAAACAACCCAGAGTCAACCAGCAGAAAAGAAGGAAATGTGTTGCTCTTACCCGTGACATTCAGAGAGGCGGAGCATTCATCACTGCCATGCTGATTGGACGCCTTGCAGGTATATTCACCACTGTCATCTTTGACTGGGCTTAGGACCTCCAGAGAGGAAGCAGTGAAGCGACTGATTATCCTGTATTTATCCCCTTCTTTGATGGGGTGTCCATCTTTAAACCACTTGAAGCTGACGTTAGGAGCGTCCTCAGTGTCACATTCAAACCTGGCTTGGTTGCCAACATTGATCTCCAAAGGAGTAATTCTGTGTTTGAACACAGGTTTCACTGCATTTTGGGAAAGATAAAAAAAAAAAAACAGAGTAAGAAAAGAGAAGCAGCTGAAATGGAAACTCATGTTACTATTTCTACTGAATGTGGTAAAGCAGTTGTCCTGGGATGAAAAGTGACTCAAACAAATTGATCCAGTGATGACTGTGAAGGAGGAAAGTTGTTAGGTTGAGAGGAGAAGTCATGCAAAATGAAAAAATAAAAAAAGAAGTAGTAATGGGGAAGAACAGATGCTGAAAGTCATGAAAAATGATTCATTGGTTTGGATGAGCTATGGGAAAAAGTGAGGATGTGAAAATCCAGAGGAAACATTTTGTTTCTTCGGTCTTTAAAGTGCAATTAGTTTTAGGTTTTGAGACAACAGTCTTGAATGAAATGATGGGTGAAGTTAGTTGATGATAATATCAAATAACTGCCTATCATCCAACCTCTTGCGACCACAGTGAGTCTTGAAGATGTTGTTGTCCTGCCGGCTTCATTCTCAGCCTCACAAACATACTCTCCTTGATGCCTCTCCTTGACAACTTTGTTGATAATCAGTGAGTATGTGTCGTGATCTGTGGAACACTTGAACTCTTTGCCAGACTTCACCAGCTGACCATTGAAAAACCAGTTTATCTTGGTGACATGCTTAATAGTGGTGGTAAAAACAGCTTCACTGTTTTCTTCAGCACAAACGTCTTGCAGCGACTCGGCGACAACAGGAAAATCAATCAAGCTGTCGGAGGACTCGCTTATCAGGATGGCCTCTGAAATGTACTCTTGTATGGTCTCTCTGTGGACAAACCCACTCACCAGTTGTTCTACAGGAACCTGGTCTGCAGTCGTTGTGGTTACTTCAGCTGCAGCAACATCTATCTCTGACCTGACCTTTGTCCGACTCACAAGCACAGATTCATGAGGTTCAGTTTGACTCTGATCTGTTGCCCTATGGAAGGAAGCACTGGCTTCAGTTCTGACTGCTGCAGACTGGGATACTTCTGCAGGAAATCCAGCTACAGTCTCTGCCACCGTCACAGAGTCCACCACAGATAACAGCATCTTTTTGGAGGGTGCTGAGCTGACCTGAACTTTCTGAGGCCTTTCAGTCTGCATAATACCCAGCTGTTCTGATGGAAGACTTTGCTGCTCCTGGAAAACCATAGCTTGCAGAGCTACCTGCAGTTCAGACCTGAGATCAGCAGTCTGAGGATATTCCCCATCAAATGACAGTGTAATCTCCAGTGGGACACCAGGTGAAGTGATCAGGTATGTGAATGTGGGCCTCCTGGACTCTCTCTGAATATTTACTTCCTGTACCTCCACTACCTCTAACCTAGCTACGACTTCAGCCAGCAACACGGGCTGATCAACTGCCACTGCAGACTGAAGAGCATCTTGGAGCTGGCGCTGTATAGTCCTACTCATTGGTTTAGGGATGCTCACAACAAAACTGAGTTCCTTAGAAAGAGCATGACAGTCCTGAGACTCGTGGGCATAAACAAACTCTTTAGGCTGGGTCTTAACACTAACAGTCGAATCCTTGGATTCATGAATCTCTCTTGATTGCTCTTCCACAATTATCTGTTTTTCTTCTAGCAGCACTGACTGTCGGACTGACTGACCCTCTTGGATCTGAACTGCAAAGTCCTGCTCAGCAGCTTCTAGGAGGGTGCAGCTTTCAGTTGCTACTGCCTTTTCTTCTATAGAAACATGCTTCTTAAGGATCTTGGGTTCAGTTCTGATTATAGGCTTGAATTTATCCTCAACAACAAGACTAGTGGTGTGACCCTCCTCTAGAGCACGAGTGTCTGTGACATTTAAGGATTGCATGATATTCCAGTAGCATTCTCGCTGCACTAATGCTTGCTGCGGCTTATAATAGGAAGTGAAAGCCGTCTCTTTTGGTAGCTGTAGAGGCTGGGTGGACACACCGAGAATGCTTGGAGTCCTGGATTCTGTTTGAAACTGCAGCCTAATCTCATCTACAGACAGGTCGATATTTTTGTGATAATCTGCAGTGATTTTTCTTCTCATCTCTGAGGTGGCTGCATGGCTTCTGGACCTTTCCTGTTTTATTACTGCCATCTGTTGATCAGGTTTTGTTAAGGTAAGTGTATCTTCCTTTAGCAAAACCGATAAAGAATCGACAGACTGTAGGTGTTTTGTGGGTGGTTGCTCTTTCTTTGGCTGAATGGAGGTACAGTCAACCTTTGCTGAGAACTCTGAAGTTGCCTCACATACCACTGACCGCTGCCCATCTTGGGTCACTGAATGTAACAAAGTCGGCAGCATACTCCTCACTTCTGCTTTCTCTGTGACAGGCTTTTCACTGCTGAGCCTTCCCTCAGACTCTAACACACTCTGGTCACTGATAGCCTGCAGATTTAGGACTTGTTTTTGTTCACACAGGGGCTGAAGACTCACTGAAGAATCTAGAGGTGCCACCTGTCCGGTTTGTTCGGCCTGAACCTGGTATTTCTTTTCACAGGTTGTTGCTGATTTGCACACCTCCTCTTTGACTGGTCTGATTGTTTGCTCCTTTGGCCTTTGCATTTCAAATGGCTGCTCTTTAGATAAAGCCACTCTAGTTTCACTTACAGGTGTTAGCATTGGCTTAGGTTGTTCTTTTTCAATTAAAGGTGTATGAGCTTTGTCCAAAGCTGGCAGAGGCTCAGTGTGTGTTTCTAAGAGCAGTAGTTGCTCTGCAGATTGAGCCGAGTACAAAATCTTGACCCCCTCTTTGACTCTGAAACTCTTTTCCTCCTCTTGTTTGTGTATGGCACCTGAAGGTTCGTTAAGAATGGGCAAAGCCGATTCTACTTGATGACTGCTAACGAGCTGCCTGGGCTCTGTAGTGGTCTCTATGAGCTCTGCAGTCTGGTATGTCAAAGGTTTGGCACTGACTGTGGTGAGTGGTACGACCTCCTCAGATGTGGCTGACATGAGCTTAGATGGTTGTTCTTTGGACAACTGAAGCTCAACTATCTCAGGGCTGAGGATTCTCTCAGAGTGCTGCTCTGTGATCTTTTGTTTCTCCTGAACTGAGGACAAAATCATTGCTGCTTGAAGCTGCTTTGTAGAAACAGCTGAGACCTCTGGTGGGTGGGCTGGAGCCAAAGAAACTTTCTCCTGTACTTCATGGGACTGCAGAACTGCTGCTTGGTGGGTAAACTGGTCCCGATGGAGAGTGGCAGCAGAAATATTGAGCTCTTTGAGTGTTCCCACCTCCTCACTGGGAATAATCAGCCGATCGTCTGTGCTGATCGTATAGATCAGCTGATCAGACCGTGCCCTTTCTTGGTATAATCTGGACTCTGTGCTTTGCTCAGTCATAGAAATCTTCAGACCTTTGGTTTTCTGAACTAACATGTGCTCTTCTTGGAGTTTCTGACTGAATGCAAGCAGCTCAGCACTACAGGAGTCTTCCCCGTGCTGGTTGGAGGCCTTACAGGTGTAGACGCCACTGTGCTCTTGCTTGACACCTTTAATATTCATAAAGCCTGAACCATCTGGGTTGTTCACCAAGATATAGAACCCACTAGGATCAATGTGGATGCTGCCTTTGAACCACTGAACCCGAGGAAGAGGGTCTCCAGTCACAGTATACCTGAAGAAACACTCACCCCCCTCAGACACCTGAACAGACTTGACAGGTTTCAGAAACTTTGGGGGCTTGCCATCAGTTTTGTCCTCACTTTGGGGTTCCTTCAGATGAACAAAGAGGTAAGATGAGCATGTTGACTGCCCAAACCTGTTGCTGACCGTGCAGGAATACTCTCCCTCAAACTCCCTTTGAACTTTGTCAATGAGTAAGCTGTACGCCTCCTCTTCATGAATAAACCTATACAAAGATGAAGAGGTTATATTCTGCCCATTGTGGAACCACTGGACTGTGGGTTTAGGAAAACCAGAGACTTTAACAGTAAAAGCAAAAGTTTCTCCAACAGTTGTAGCCGCTGGAGAAAGTTTGCTGAGAAAAACTGGTTTTTCTTTTTTCTTCTCTAAAGTGCTGGAAAAATGTTTGGATGCTGGTTTGAGTTCAAGTGTTCTGGTTTTGTGAGGCAACTTTACGCCGGTGTAGTACAACTCCTGGGTTTCCTCCTCCATCATAACAGTTGAACTGGAAAAGGCTGAGTGAAACAATGACAGTTCATGAAGTAAATCTCACATCCCGGCCTCAGTATAATCAGTTGCAATGAAAACAAAAATGTTATTCTCAGTTATTCTCTGATGAGTTGTAAATATCTCTGCTATCAGTTGAGGTCAAAGAGTGGCATGAAAACTAAAAATCAACAAGAGTGAAATTATTTATTGTTTGTCCTCAACATTTACAATGACAGTGGAGCTGAATGTACCTCTGATTTATAGTTCTGATCATTCATTAATTACACAGGATATGTATTCTCTGGCTCATCATAGGTTTTCCTCAGACATATAACCAGAACTCAGTATTAAGAAAAACAATCATATTTTTTGAAAAGTTGCATTACTGCATTCAAAAACTACAAACTGCAGTAAAACATGTTCCCATGTTGATTCAAGCAGAATTTCACAACAGTCAGAACATGAAAAGGAGCTTGGTTAAACTGGAAGAAGGACATGAATATATTTGAAACAATATTTACCTTTCCCTTCTGCCTGGATCGCAGGTTCCTTTTCCACTTCAGCTACTGTAAAGACACAAAATTTCACAATTAAAACAAGTACCAGAACCATGGACGTTAGAATCAGTGACAGGCTGTGCACCCGTGATGTTCTTGCATGCCACCTTTCGTTCTTTGAGTGTGCTGCACATCTTGATTTTGAGTAATGTTCTGTGATATGAGTGTCCACATCTCTAACAGTGTTTTAGACAAAGACAAGTGAAAACCTTGAAGACATGGTGTCACCTTGTAAAAAGGTATTTTTCCTATGGATGTGTGAAACAATAAGTAGGGGACAGAAATTGCTAGAGTGAGCAGAAGGGCCAAAAGCATGCAGGTGATGCCAACCTTTCATCATTGTGTTGCACTCAGCTTCTCCAGCTGAGCTTACATTTTTGTAAGAATAAGAACCCCCTGGCTTGGCTCCCACATTATTAGCATTTAAACAGCAAACTGTGCTGTCTTCTTTCAAAGAGTATGAACCAGAATCCTTGACATTCAGACGGTTGTAAAGCCAAATAGCAAAAGGAGTGGGAAGCCCCTTCCAAAAGCAGAACAAGGAGCTGATGTCCTTGTTTTTAATCTGCAGTTCCGGGGGGAGTTTGATCAGAAACTCGTGGCAGTTGGAGAACCGATGACTCTGCTCATCATGAAGTGCAACATCTGGGAAATAGAGGTGGCTGATCAAGTTGAAAGATCTCTGGGAAGACTTGGGCAATGGTCCCATCTTCTCCTTGGACTCCTGCTTGTCTTGGTCAGAGAGGTTTCTAGGGCTCTCCCTGTCTGCGTGAGACACTTTACAAACAGAATCGGTGGGGATAGGGGTCTCTGCTTTGAGGGTTGCTTCTTTAGCTGAGTGAGAATAAAGTTAGGGAGAGCAATTAAGGGTCAGAGAGTAAAAAGTTAAGACTAATCAATAAAGGGTTAGTAGGATGGATGATGAGATTAGCAAAGTGAAGCTGGCAACAGGGGGAGAGGGAAAACTATACTACAAGAGTTGTTATTGCATTACATTCTTACAGGTTACAAACTAAAAGGAAGTATTAAATTATGAGGAAAGGGTCCAAAGCGGGGAGCGCAGATGTAAGGGTGGGAAGGACAAGATGGAAATTTAAAAAAAGAAAGATTAACCACCTTCAACGGTGAGCTTGGCAGAAGAACTGTTCTGACCATGTTGGTTGGTGGCTGTGCAGCAGTAAACTCCCTGATCTGCCACGTCAACACCATGAATGACCAGGGACAAAAAGTCCCCACTTTGAGAACTCCTCACCCGCTCTGTGTTCACCAGGTTTTGATCATTATGATTCCATACCACTCCGGTGAAGGGCTGCCCATCAAACGAGCAGCTGAATTCAGCTACCTCGCCGCTTTTCACTCGGACGTCATTCATTTCCACCAGCAGCTTCGGTCTGGCTGAGAATTTGAAGTCCAAGCTGGTCTCCACTGAGCTTACACTCTCCATTTGAATCTCAGCAGTCCTCCATGACACAGAGGGACTTTCAGAGACCGTCTCAGAAAACTCAACACTGTGAGCTACTTGACCCACCAACAGAGATCTGAAACTCTCTGTCTGAGCCTCCAGTCTCTGCGTTAGCTTAGTCTCAGCCTCGGTGTTTGACACTCTAGCTAAGACATTTTCATCTGGGCAGTAAGAAAGAATAGAAGCATTAGGTCAACACAGCAACATTCTGGAGACTTATCGAGGTTATGTGCCAACGTGCAGTTGGGTTGAAGGTTGGAGGATGAGTCAGGATCAGTGAGGAAACAACATGGCTTGTTTCTGCAATCAATCATGCAAGCTTGACTGGAGCCAGAGCTTGAAAACCACCAGTGGGTCATGTCCGTGAGTGTGGGGAATCCAGAAATGTGTACTTCCACTGGTCAGAAGTTTTGTCCATGCTTTTTTTTTTACTCTGAAACTAAGATTCACATCTAAAAAAAAGCCTGTTAGGAGCTACATGGGTAGAAAAAAGATGCCATGCATTCACAACAGAAATTCCTGCTTGATGATGTTTACTACAAAAATAAAAGCTTCTCTTCCTTTTGAGGAAGACACAAAAAGACCTGAGTCTTTTTGACATGAACTAACAAAGAGCATGCAGTCATCGCAGATTTGACTCTCACTTTTATTTTGAAAACCATTAGATAGACACGCAATATTTGTCAGAACTCACCGTCGAGGTGCAAAGAGGCAGAACATGTGACCATTCCTGCCAAGTTTGTGGCAATACATGAGTACTCTCCCTCATGTGCAGGAAGAACTTTGGATATCTCCAACAGGCAGGTTTCATCTAAATGAGACATTCTGAAGATGTTTGACTGTCGGATCTCTCTGTCATTACAGAACCAAGCCACCTGCAGATCTGAAGACGACATGTTTGTTAAAATATGACTTTCTCAAACAGCCTGAATCACTACGGTGGTGAAACAGGACAGCTTGTTCATAAGCCAGCAGAAGGTGAGCAGTACCTTCCCCAGAGACGCTACACCTCAGTTGGGCAGGATGTCCCTCTGAGACCAAGACGTCTTTCAGAGGAGTGACCAGAACCGGGGCAGAAATTTGAGCCACGGCTTCCACCACCTCAGGAACTGAAAAATAAACCACAACAGTTTACCTACAGGTTCAACAGAAACAGGTTAAGCTGCGATGATTTGGGGTTTCTCCTTTGTAGAAACAAAATATATCTCAGTTTTTCTTTTATTTGCTTTAACATCTGCTAATCAAGTCATTTATGTTGGATAATTAAACCCAAATCATTACTAATTCAATTATTGGGACTCAGATTATCTTTGCAATTAGCAAGAAAAACAGTTTTGTATTCCAACCCAAACACCAGAACCGAAATGGATTATCATGAAAAATGCCTGACCTTCTACCGTGAGGGGGGCGGAGCTTGCAGCCTCTCCGTAATCATTTTTGGCCTCGCAGCTGTAGATGCCAGCGTCCTCTGGGAAGACTTCGAGCAGCAGCAGCGTGTGTTCGTCTCCATCATGAAGAAACTTACACTTGTAGCTGGTGGACAGAAGCTGGGAGTCTTTGTACCAGAACACCTGAGGCTGGGGCAGGCCGCTCAACTGCACAGAGAAGCGAACCAACCGGCCCGACAGCGCCGTCTGGGGCTCCATGTGGCGGACAATCTGAGGTAGCTCTGGCACTGAAGTGAAAAGACATCAGAGACATCAGAGTAGACATGCAGCAATTCTTGGATCAACCTAAAGTTCAGAAAGTGTCCAAACTCCTAAGTGATGGATCTCTTACATCTCACATGGAGGTTCATGGTGCTCCGGTTCTTGCCGGCAACAAAGGTGTACTCCCCAGCGTCGCTCCTGTAGGTTTCAGAGATGGTGAGGCGGTGCACCTTCTTGATGATCGCATAGTTAAACCTCTCCTCCTCTGTTAACTGGATCTCCACACCGTTCTTCAACCAGTGGCCCTCCACATCGTCCTCGTTCACCTCAAACTCAAAGTTGGCTCTTTGTTTCTCAACAACCTGCAGGCAGAGATGATCCACGGAGTTAAACACAATAAACTGGTTCCTGATTGAAAGAGCACTTTTTGCTGACACACAGATTAAACATTTTTAACAATCTCTGTCCTGCTGTCACGTAAACCAACAGACGGCACTGAAAGTAACCCAGCTCCATCTGTTGCTGCAGGTGTAAAACTCACTGTGATGTCTCTGCTGGCAGGCTCTGAGATCTTAACATCTCGTCCTTCCACTCCCAGGTTACCCTTGGACATGCTCGACCCGGCCACGGCGGTGTACTCGCCAGCATCAGACAGGCGGACTGACGGCAGAACCAGACGGTGTACAAACTGATCTGAGGAGATTTTGTATCTGCAGAAAACAGAAAGGAACACATGGTTAATGATGATTTTAGATTTAAAGGAATCCACCACCTGAACAACAGTGACTGTACCTGTCGGACATCTCCAGCTCTTGACCATCCTTCATCCACATCACCTGGACGTTTGGTTCCGACACTTCACATTCAAAGGTAGCCCTTTTCTTCTCGGTGATCTTCAGGTCCCTCAGGTGTTTGGTGAATTCAATCACACGTGCTGTAGTCAGACAAGTTTAAAACTGAACTTTGTGAAGAGTTTCATCATCAACATTTATTAAAATAGAAAATAAAGAACCTAAAGATGTAGAAGTTTATTCTCACAAGGGTTAAGCAGTGATGGAGGTCAGTCAGATGACTGAGAGCAGAAAGGCAGAAGAAATATAGATGTCTTACCCTCCACGTAGAGTTTAGCTGAGGTGACTGCAGACCCTGCCATGAAGGCATACTCAGCGCTGTCTCCAAAGTGAACATTTCTGATGCTCAGAGTATGGGTGAACTGTTTGCACCGAGCCTGGCATCTGTCGGTGGACTTGATCTCCATGCCATTCTTCAACCACTTGTAGGTGATTCCTTCATAGTTGACGGTCACCTCGAAAGTGACAGTGTCTTTCTCCTGAGCGTTCATGTCTTCCAGCATTGTTGAGATCAGAATTGCTGCGGGGGAGGGGGGGGGGGGGGGGGGATTGGACAAGCCTGATTGTAAGTTCAAAAATTTCCAGCAAATATTTTTCTCTGAAAAAATACGTGGAGATGGAAAAACAGAACTAAGAACTGCTGCTTAAATCAACATGTTGAGTCTTTATAACTTACCTCTAAAGCCAAAAGCACTTTATTTTAAACAAAGCTGTTTCTATTAAATTAACCAACCAGCACTATTATTATTGAACCAGTTACAGTGAAAAGCACAATTATATATACTGTATAAACAAATGTACGTTTTTAATGTCTATGACGTGCTTACGGTTGACAGTGAGCGTGGCTGACACTCGGTCGTTCCCGCAGACGAAGGTGTACTCTGCAGAGTCGTCCCTGCTGGTGTTCATGATCTTCAGCTGGTGGAGTTTCCCCTGAACCACGATCCTGAACTTCTCGCTCATCTCGATCTCCACGCCATCCTTCAGCCAGATGGACGGCACGTTGAAGTGAGAAACTTCACACTCGAACGTGGCTACCTGGGTCTCCGGGACGTCCACGCTCTTTATGGGTTTGGTGACTCGCAGAGCTGCAGGTAGAACGTGAACTTAGATGACTTGATTCTGGTAAATGTTTAGTTATTTTGATCAGAAAGTCTGCACGTTAAGGCTTACACTCAACGATGAGGTGAGCGCTGCACTGCAGGTGTCCAACCACAGCTGTGTACTCTCCCTGTTTCTCGTTGTCCACATCGCAAACTATCAGTTTGTGGGTCCTCTTCTCTGAAAGGATGGTGTAGTGCTCACTGGGCTTCAGGTCCACATTGTTAAACATCCATTTTACCGGGATGTTGTCCTCCGAGATCCCCACTTCAAACATAGAGGTAGCACCCAACAGGGCTGTGACATCTTTAGGCTTCTTCAGGATCTTGATGGCTGGGAGAAAATTGTTTCATGGTTACTAAAATGCCTAAAGGATTCTATTTCACATGAACCTCCTAAACACAGATATGTCATTGTTCTTTTGATTTCAGAAACCCTTACTTTCAACATTAAGCCTTGCGTTTGCAGACAGCTTCCCCAGTTTGAAAGAGTACACAGACTCATCTTGGGTGTTGCAGTTTTTGATCTTCAGGGTGTGAACTGTTCCCTCTGTAGTGATTTCAAATTTATCACTGGGCTGGATCTCAATACCATTCTTGATCCACTGTGCTCCTCTGACGTTCTCATGGGTCAGCTCAAGGCTGAACACAGCCTCCTGGGTCTCAACCACGTTCAGGTTCTTTAGGGTCTTCTTGATCTTTACAGCTATGTAGACAAAATATTTTATTAGTCAATGATCACTGATAGTATGGAATACCTTTGACAGGTATCTGACAGATCAAATCTTCTCTCTTATGACTGAACCTTAACTTGGTAAATGTAAAAACATTTCAAGGTTTGTGGAGAAATATTTTATTTAGAACCACTTGAAAATATAACTCCAGTTTCACCTTGTTTTTTCCATAAGTAAACCTAACTACCAAAGGAAAAACTGGACCTCAACAACCAGTTTTAATATAGAACATTCAGGAAAACAAGCAACAAATAAGTAAAAGGACAAGTCTGCCATTCTTTCATGTTGATGTATAATTTCATATTACCAAGGTTGCAGATTTAACGTTGACTGTGTATAATTTACAGAAACACCATGCACCCACCTTCAACTTTCAGGGAGGCAGTGGTCCTGGAGGTGGCGACCTGATAGGTGTATTCTCCAATATCAGTGGCTCTGGTGATGATGATAATGAGCCGTCTCACAGCGCCGTCCTCCTCACTCATGATGTTTTCACTATAATCGACGGGCTGACCATCTTTCAGCCACTTTCCTTCAGCTGATGGGTTAGCTACCTGACACTCTAGCACTGTCGTTTGGGAATCAGCTACAACCAGATCCTGCAGAGGCTTCTTGATGGCACCGCCTGATGACAGGAAAATGTTACCCCATCAAGAACCATCAATGATCATGCTCAGAGTGTTAAAATAATGTCACTGACTTACCTGTTACTGTGAGTGAAGCTCTGCATGTCTTCTCACCAGCAGCAAACATGTATTCGCCCTCTTCATCCTTCATGGCATTGATGACGGTCAGCGTGTGGAGTGTATTCTTGGTCTCCAACTTGTGCTTGGTGCCAGATTTGAGCTGCTGATTCTTGAAGGTCCAATAAGGGTCAATTCCCGGGTGAGAAACCTCGACTTCGAAGGTGACATTTTCAGACTCTGAGCACTCTGTGTCTTTCATTGGCTTCATGATCTGCACCGCTGTTCAGACAGAACAAAGATTAAGTCTAAAACGAGTGATCGGCTAGTTTTTACATCAGTCAACATCAACAATTAAAAAAATTAATTAGATTTTAATGATGAAATATTGTTCTTTCAGGTCATCAGAACTGTAGGGTAACACTTCAGTTAGTAAGCCAAGGTTGACGATTCCTTTGTGAATCTAAAAAAAATGCTGCTTTGGTTTGTTTGCACCGTTTAAGTTGTGCATACCTTGGTGAATTATACGTTTGTCTACATGTGAAAGAGGGTCAGGTTGTGAAGCCTGAAAACCTAAATTGAACTTTGTGCTCTAACAATTATGGTACTCATTGTATATTTGTCTGATCTTTGCATTCTTGGAAAATGTTCCTCATTCACTTACGCTCAACAGTTAATTTGCAACTGGTGTCCACTCGACCAACAACCATTTTGTAGCGTCCTTGATCAGAAGCATAGGTCCTGGTGAAGACCAGACGTTGCTTGGATCCTTTTGCCACCATACTGACCCTCTCACTGGGCTCCAGTAGTATGTCATCTTGGTACCATTTGACAGAGCTGATGTCCTGAGCAGAGATCTTGGCCTCCAGGACAGCCTTGGTGCCTTCAATGGTAGATGTGTCCTTTAATGGTATCAAAATACCAATAGCTGCAATACAAGAAGAAAGAAATACACTCAGAGATATTTATTTTAAAAAGCACCTTGTTTTTAAAATAACTTGTACTCAAGGGACTTACACTGAATGGACAGCTTTGCAGAGGATGAAATGTCATGATCAGGAGCCACAAAAGAGTAGACTCCAAAGTCATCCTTCTTGGCATCTTCAATCAGGAGTTTGTGGATTTGTTTGTCAATGACAATGTGCACATGACTTGAAGCTGAAATTGGCTGTCCATTCTTCATCCAGCTTCCTTCAACATTCTCCTGGGAAAACTTTACCTCAAGCTGAGCAATATCACCCTCACAAACTGTTAAGTCAGTCAGAGGCTGCATCAGGGTCACGGGACGCACTGAAACATAAAAACAAATGTATTCAGTAACAGAAACAACCAGAAATAAAAGAAGCAGATGGAATTTACCAAGGAAACCTACAGAATCCATCTCTTTTAAAAGCATTGGATCATGAGCAGCAAATTTCTTGGCAGAAGTTGTCAGAGCATGCTCCTCTCAGCCAAACTATAACCATACATTCACATTATCTTACACAATTCAATATTACAACAAACTTTGACTCACATTTCATCTTCAGTGTAGCACTTGTCTTGAATTCGCCAACTTGGAAAGTATATTTTCCCTGGTCTTCCTTCTTGACATCCTTTACTGATAGAGTGTGTCTTCCACGGCGAGAGGACATGGCGTATTTACCACTGGGCGACAGCAGCTTATCGTCAAAAAACCAGGTGCCGTCAGCATCCTCACGAGATACAAGACATTCAAACTCCCCAGAGTACGTCTCGGGCACCTCGGTGTTCTCCAGCTGCTTCACGATCTCTAGAGGGGCTCCTGTTGATCACAACGTTCAGATAGTACATCAACATCTACAACTCATTGAGTGCCCATTCAAACTATCTGACTGCTATAAGATGTATCCAAAGGTACACATGTATAAGCTAGAGTCAATTTTAAAAGTTTTGGAGTAATAAACTAAGACATGTTGGAGACTTCATGTTCTCAAGATTTCAATTGACATGGTTAATAATTGGCATGTTCAAATATGAACTCACATCTTTCACAAACATCATCAGCATATTTCTGAAAGGTGCTGGTTTCATGTCAAGGTTTATTAAACTCTTCCCTGTGACCCACCTTCAACAATGAGATTGGCACTTGTCCAGATATTCTCATCGTCTATAACCATGCAGGTGTATTCCGCATCATCTCTCATTTCAATCATCAGCACTGACAAGAAGTGGACTTTTCTGTCTGAGTGCATCCTGTATTTGTCTCCTGAGAAGATTTCCACATTATTCTTCAGCCATTTGACCTTAACAAAAGGCTCATTTGTTTCACACTCAAAGGTTGCCATTGTATCCTTCTCTTTGGCATTGACCTCCTCCAGCTGCTGGGTGAAGGTAATAACTTGTTTTGCTGCAAAAAAAAAGTCAGGGGAATTTCAGTTAGAAACTACACAATTCAAGGAGTTAAAGTTTAGAGAGCTGAGTGTTAAGGTACCTTGTACCAGTAGGAAGGCGTGGCTTGAAGTTTCTCCAGCAGTATTGGAGGCCTTCACCATAATACTGGCAGAATCCTCTGCTGTAACATCTCTGATCACCAGTTCACACACGTGGTCCTCAGGCCAGTACCAGTAAATACGCTCGGACTTCTCCAGCTGAATGCCATTCTTGAACCACTGACACTCTGGTTCTGGTCTACCGACGACTCTGACTCTGAACTTCACTTCATCACCGAGTGAAACTGTCTGACTAGTGATACGCTCCAGGATCTTAGGAGCTTCCATGCTGGGGGAGAGCTTGACTCTCTCTGGTTTCAGTGATTTCGCAACAAGTTTACGGCGCTCCTCTTCCTTCTTCTTCTCAGCCTCCTCCTTCTCCTTGGCATGGTGAAGAAGCTCCTCCTTTGTCTTCTTCAGTAGATCTTCATAAGAATCATCCCTCTTACGAGATTTGAGCTCTACTGCAGTGATAGACTCATAATAGCCTTCCTCTGTCCTACGTTTGAATTTGCTCCTCAGCTCCTCTGACTCCTCGATGGCTTTTTCACGCACAATTCTTTGAGCCTTCTTAAGCTTGACCACCTCCTTCAGCTGTGAATCCTCAACGGGTTTCTCGGTCTTCACAACCTCAAATGTGACTTTTCCAGGCTCCTGTGTAGCTTCAGCTCCCTTAGCTTCAGGTGCATGGCGCAGATGAGTTCTGAAATCCTCTTTTTGCTGAATTTCCAGCTTCACTGTGTATTCAGATTGACCCAGAATGTTGTCTGATACAACTTTAACCTCACCTGAATCATAGGACTTGATGTCAACAATCTCCAGGTAGTAAATTCCATCATAACGAAGTCTGTACCTCTTGCTTTTGCGGATGAGTTGTCCATTGAGGTACCAGTTAACCTTTGGAGCTGGATAACCGGTCACTCTGCAGCGGAAGCGAGCTGTGTCACCTTCCATAACACTGACTGGTTCAGGTAGAAGGACGATTTCTGGTTTCATTTTCTCTGTTTCTTCTTCAGCAGTGACTCCAGCAGGTCCACCTTCATGAGCCATACGCTCAATCTCGTCCATTCGGTACACTCCCTTCCTTCCTTCTGGAAGTTGTGTTTCCTCAACAAGGCCCTTCTCATCTTTAACAACCAGGGTGGCCGAAGTTTGGTCAACTCCAAAGTTGTTGGTAGCTCTGCAGGTGATGACTCCACTGTCTCTAGCATAAGCAACTTCATAGTCTAGGCTGCAGTAGCCAAACTCGTTGACCATGCGCAGCCTGTTTGCAGCAGCCAGTGGTTTGCCATCATGTAGCCACTCCACCACCATGGTGGGGTCCCCAATTGGAGTCAGTCTGCATTCAAAATGAGCTGGACCAAAACGCTTCATCCTGATGGATGTCATCTTCTTCTTGAACACAGGTTTCTGTTGCTTCTCTTTGTCATAAAGGTCACCCTCTTCCCACTGCTCTTGGCCATATCTCAGGTGGAGGGGCTCCAACTCAGGAGGTGTGATCTCTTTGGCTTTGTAGGTACCTTTGGGAATGATGAGCTTCCTCTCTGGTTCAGGCTCAACATAGTCGACCTCAATGTTGACTCTACAGCGGGTGGTGTCTCTGCCGGCCTTGTTGATGGCTGTAGCGGTGTACCAGGCACTGTCTGAACCAGCAGCAGATGGAATTTGGAATTTGGCCTCTCCTTTGGTTCCTTCAATCCTGAAACATAATATTTTTCTTTGAGGGTGGCTTTATAATTTCAGTCATATTCAGTTTATATTACTGGAGGAAATTAGTAGATGATATTTAAAATAACAAAGAAAATTGTTAAAAACTCCTTGTAAAAGATTGGTGATTTTTTGACTAGATCTTGTAAATGATAAAGGCCATAAATAATCCACAACTCGCTTCTATCTTTATTTGCTGTCTTTGAGATGGAGATTTTGGATAGTCAAAATAAAAATCCCAACATGTTCAGTAAATTAACAACTGCACTCTCATATTTCTGTGGATTTACAGTAAAGTCAGTGTGTATGGCAAAGACACGACGAGAAGGCATACTTGATGTTTGGGTGCTTCAGTGGGCTGATGATGTCACTGTTTTTCAGCCAGACGATGTCAGGCAGGGGGTTTCCAATGGCTTTGACAGCCAGTTCAACCAGAGTTCCCTGTTTCACACTGATGTTCTTCAGCTTCCCAGTGAACTGTGGACGCACCAAGGTCTCTTTGGCTAAAACACACACACACGCACATATACAGACATTAAAAAAAAAAAAAAAAAAATATATATATATATATATATATATATATATATATGTGTGTGTAGCTTTGTGTTCAGGCATTCAGCTGAGGTCACAGAGAATGAGGTGAGAACTTACCATCAACAGTGAGAGTGACAGAGATGGAGGAGCGTCCGGCTCTGTTCTGGGCCACCACAGTCCATTCTCCAGAGTCGTGTGGCATGGCTGGGACAATGATCAGGGACTGAGTACCATCCTCTTTAACAACAATCTTATGGGTGTGGTCGCTAACCACTTGTTGTCCTGAAAAAGCAATGAGTGCATTAAGATTTTAGGAACAAACATTCTTCAGTAAAGCACATTTGATGAAAATTGTTTCTGGTTAACTCACCATTGTGGAACCAGTAAGTGTCAGGCATCGGTCTGCCAACAACCTTCAGGTCATATCTGGCAGTTTGTCCCTCAGAACATTTACATGAGGTAGGTTTCATGACGAACACAGGTTTGTAAAGTCTTTCCAGTTGAGACTCATCGGTCTCATCGAGACGGCGAGCAGGAGAGCGTCCAGGTGAACGGCTGGGTGAACGGCCGGGAGAGCGGCTCAGAGAACGAGGAGATGTAGACCTGAGAAAAAATATATATTTTCATCAGTTATGGTATGATAAGGAGTTACCCATTTAAGGTTTTGAAGTATTTTCTTTGAGGGAAATCTTACCTGATCCTCTGAACTGCAGGCTGTGGTGTGTACCTCTGAGGAGCAGCACCAGTTGACTCGACGTAGAGCTTCCCTGAACTTACAGCATTTCCCTTTATGTTGGTGGAGAAGGCTGTGTACACACCTTCATCCTCCGGTCGAACCATGGACAAACGAAGGCTGGCCCGTCCATCCTGAAGAACCTCCATGTGGTAATGATCGCTAGACCTGATGCGCTGGCCATTTTTAAACCAAGCAATCTGTCAAATGACAAAATATTAGCATAGTTTGAATTTAGCTGCACCACTTTGAAGTCTGCAGCACTACACTTTCATTATATTTTAAAGGCAAATGACTAAAGGAGAATGTTTCCAAATGATTCATTACCGTGGGGAGTGGTATTCCAGACATCTTGCAGTGAAAGGTGACACTCATTCCTTCCATAATTCTGTAATTTTTAACGGAGGTTTCAAAGACTGGCTGCACTGCCTCGGTGGAGGTGGCAGTCACCATCAACTCTCCATCCTCTGTCACAATCTCTCTGTAGGTAATCTTCATTATGTTGAGCTCTATCTCCTGAATGATCCTCTGCTCCATGGCAGACAAATGGAACTCCTGCAGATGTGATCAAGTACGACAGGAGTAATAAAAACATGATTTATAATGGCAAGTAATGATTTAGCAGTTGAAATGCTAACCCTAACCCATCCAGCCAATCAAAACGCTGCTTATACCTGTCCGGAGATAATGGTTGTGGTCATCTGCTCCGTCACGGGCGGAGTGTCTCCCACTTTGGGTTCCTGTACCAAAGCTGTCACTTCAGTCTTAAAGGTTTCTTCCTGTTTCTTTATGTAGACTTCATATTCCTCTGCAGAAAAATATAGGCGTTAAAGATTTATTCAGTGCATAATATACCATTTGTGGATTAAATGTTTCAAACTTATGTTTTCTCTTTGTTTTATTCTCTTCAGTCTTCCCTCTTTTATGAACTTCCTCATGGCATTTTTGGACGCAGTGTTTGTTGACATACCTTCCTCCAGGAGGCTGGTGGAGGCTGAGACTTCTCCGAGTTGATTCTTAGCAAGGATGACGTATTCTCCGGCATCATCAGCGAAGGTCATGGAGATCTCCAGTCTGCACACTCCAGTCTCCTTCTTGTAGGCAACATTATATCTGATGAAGACAGGCAATTAGCTTGCGCTATAGGTGGTTCACTGAGAGTTTTAACTTAAAACTGCAGAGAATATACAGTTGTTTAAGATGTAGTTAAAGTCAAGCTTATATCCTATGTTAAAACCTACATGTATACTAAATGTTTATGTATGTACTAGTTGTTTTGTTTCTATTCGTTTCTACTCAGGTGTAGGCGTGTCTCCATTTGGAGTGTATCCAACAATCTGTGGGTGGGATCGTCAATGCAAAGCAGGCAGTAGTCGGATTTCTTTTTCTTTTTATTTGTCCTGGCACTTTATATGTCTGAGTGTAGCCGTGGGGAGACAAAGTTTCAGACAACTCCCTGTGCACTTGCTTATTCTATGTGACTTTGTTAAGTTCACACTGTATGCTCTCATCAGCCAAAATGGATAAAAAGGTTTGTGCCTCATCATTGGTCCATAGGATTAATTGGGATTTGCAGCTCCCCATCTCTATCTCAGGACAATATGCTCTGCAACAATCAGATTCAAAATGGCACTTCAGGAGAGTTTGCAAGTAGAGCATTGGTTCGTTCAGTGACGTCAACCCACGGGCCATTCAACGGCTGCAGTTTGCTAACATCAAAATGGCTTGATCGGCTCAGCTTGCTTGAGACCACGGCTAAGGCAGGTCTGAAAACCAAGCAAGAGCAGGTAATGGAGACACAACTGGCCGATGCTGAGTCGATGCTAACTGATTAACGGCTTAAGCTTCGGGCTGTATTTTGTGAAACTTTTTAATATTTCCATTATTTCAAAGAAAGAGATCTGAGACTGAATGCTGTTTCTGTGGTGGGTACTGGAAAGTTTACAAAATCAATTTGTTTCACCGTTTTTATTAAAAATAAGAAACCACGACTCACTTAAGGACACAAACAAATAGCCTTTGAGTACCTGTATCCGGTGGTGAGCAGCACACCGTTCTTCTTCCACAGGATGTGAGGTTTCGGGTTTCCTCCAACCTGACACTCAAACACAACACTTCCTCCCTCCACAAGCTTCTGGACACTCGGTTTCTTGACGAAGAAGGGAGCAGCAGCAGGAGCATCTGGCTCGATAATCTCTTCTTTGGTTTCCTCTGTAACTCTGAAATGTGAAGTTTCAGTATTTCTGTTAAGGACCTGAAATCTGTGAATGTATCAAGAAGCTTTGAAGAAGACCGAATGGACTCACGGTTTCTGAGCAGTCTCTACATGTTCTGGGGCAGCTGTCTCCTGTCTGCTCTCAATGTCTTCAGACACTGAAGGAGAAACAAAGTTCGTTTAAACAGAAACCACATGAAGGTTTTGCTCTGTTCACAGTAAACATGGTAACTTTGATGGATGTCAACATATAAATGAGCTTACTGTGTTACATGGTTTATTCTTGGTTTACTCTTTCAGCATTAACTGGTTTTGTTGGTTTATTTAGGCTTGATTAACACAATCTAACAGAGTTGATCCAGATTATTTACCAGCACTGGGTCTTGGTGTATCTGTTAGGATGAACCAGTTTTACATTATTATTATTTTTTATATATAAAAACTAAGGGGGCCTCATGTACAAAGTGTGTGTACTCACAAAAACATGTTGTATGCCCTTTTTCATGAAAAACTTCAGATGTATCAAGAATTAAATGAATGTGGAAATGTGCGCAGCCCCACACCAACTTCATGGGCCAGCTGTGGCGGAGTGGTTAGAGCAGTCGTCCTCCAATACAAGAGTCGGGGGTTCGCTTCCACCAGCAGTCACATGCTGAAGTGTCCCTGGGAAAGACGCTGAACCCCTCATTGCCTCTGATGTGCGTCTCATCAGTGTATGAACGTGATAAATCTCTGATTATTCTTTGTATAGATCTAGTAGAGCGCTGTAGGAATGGGTAAATGAGGGCACAGATTGTTGTAAAGCTCTTTGGGTATCTTGATCAGATAAAAAGGCGCTATATAAGTACAGTCCATTTACCATACTTTTTTTTTTCTCATTTGACGTAAATGGCTTCCTTTACCACTTTCACCAATTTTACATGATTTGTTTGTTAAACCAGAACAAAGTTTGTCTGCTTGTATCAGTCTTATTTCATTGGTAAATACCACAAAGTATTCCTAGAGCCATTTTATGACTGTATACCTGGTTCTACACGCTCACCTGCCATGTTTCACACAGCACTTGACCTTGGGTTGTAGAAATGACTTTCTGAAGCTTTTTTGACTTGATCTGACTGGCCTGAAAAAAACAAGACTTGACCACAAAGCAATGTACTGGTGAGCTACCCTCAAAGCCTGGTTCAAAGACGGTGCACCAGTTTCCCTACCCTGCTTGCTGTGGTTTGCTTCCATCAAGGTTTTTTTAGTCTGACCCCTCCCCTGAGGCCAATTTGCCTCTGAAAACCCTACCAGGTGCTGACACCCCAAACAGCATAACCACCAGGATCATAGGTGTACTAAACCCCCACGCCCAACATGTCAAGATGGTGATTCTGCAGAGCCACTGTGCTCCTCAAAACATCTGGTAAAGAATACTGCAGTCGTATAGCATTCCATGGATAGATGGATCTATTCTATGTGACCTGTTTTGTTTGTACCAAGCTAAAATTAATTCTGCTTAATCAGACAGAGTGACTGTGATTCTGGGGTTTTATGGTTCTGTGGTCCAGTCATTTAGTGGTTCTGTAGTCCTGTGATTGTGTTCCAACTCAAAGACTGCTGGTCTCCAGTCCTGACACATGTCGGTTTATCTACAATCAAGGAAGTCATCGGCAGAAAATTTGGACCTGGTCAGGCTGCCTGCCTTATTTGTTGGCTTGTGCCTTGAGCACCCAGACTCAAATGCTTTTGGCAGGATGGATCAGATCTCGGGGATTATTATCGGTGTGGCCATTTAATTTGGACATTTTGGAACCGAGTGGATTGACACAGACTCAAGGTAGATGTCAGTAAAAGTTCTGCCTGTCCCCAAAACAATCATGTTTATCTGAATTCGGCTCTCTGACTGGACTTGACAAGCCATCTTATCTTAATTCGTCTGGAAGTGTTGTAAACCTGATGCTCTGACCTTCCCTCCCCTCCTATCGAGGAAGTCTATGGATGATTCAGAGGGGTCCAGCTGAGTAAACATTCGGTCATCATTTCAAGACTCTTTGGATTCGTGCTTGGCCTCCTCGACACCCCCCTGAGTGTGTACGGATCCCTCCAGAGGGAACTGTTTGAACTGAGCAATTTTATCTGAACTCTGCAGCACCTGTGTGTGTTGTCTCTGGACATGCTCACCACCCTTGCCCCCCGCGGAATGTCGGCATCATTATGTGCTCGTGTGCAAAATTTTTTTTCATTATCATGCTGTTAACCTTCAGCCAAAGATTAAGAGCATGTTAGGATTTTTTTTTTTTTTGTCTCCAAACCCTATGTGTAATTTTTCACCACTTTTTATTGTCTGTCCAAACATGTCTCACTTGTAAATGGGTCTTAGAGACTCATTGTGATTTATCTGTTTAAATAAAGGTTGAATAAATTAATGAATGAATGAATGTTGAAGTGAAATGTAGAATCTCTAAACTCTGGTAGGTTCAGTGATGCTATTACTTATAGGTAACTATGGGAGAAAATATCAGCTCAGTAAACAAAGATAAAATAAATTTGACTCATTTCAGTGAAATCAACTCTCATGGATCATGCTGACACAATCCAAACAACATAATTTTGTTTTTCTGCTGATAGAAAGCCGTGTAGCCTTTTATGTGGAATATGATGCAGTTTTAATAGGTTATTTTTGGGTAGATATTAGATATTGAAAATAGATCAGTGTTGAAACTATCTTGGCTTCAGTTAAAGTGCTGTGTGTAGTCATAGTTTCCCTTCAATTATCTTTTCTGTACCTTGGACAAGCAGGTAGCAGGAGGTGCTGATGGTTCCCGCCTCATTGGTGGCGGTGCAGGTGAAGCGTCCGCTGTCCTCAGCGAATGCCTCACGGATCATCAATCGAGCATATCCGCTCGTATAGGTAATCTGGAAATCAATGGAGCTCTCGATCTTATAGTCTTCTCTGAACCACATGATGACGGGGGCGGGCTGACCACTGATCTGACACTCCAGGGTTATGGATTCGCCCTCAGTCACATTCGTATTCTTCAAGCCCTGCATGAAAAAAATACGCTTACTTTAGGGAATGTGACAATCCTAGAGAGGCTTTAATATGATCAATGGTCTAAGCAGAACTGAACCACTTACAGAGACCACGGTCGGTGGAACCACAGCGCCACCTGGAGATGGTACAGTTGCTGCCTCCTCCACCTGTGGCATAGTAACACATCTGTTAGACCAGTGATAATTAACCAATATATAATGCGTCTTAAAACATGTAAACTACATAGCAAATAAAAGGATTTATGCTGAAGATGTGAGCACGTGATGAAGAAGAGGAGATGAAACAATACAAAAAAAGAGGAAGCTTGATGGATTCAAGAGGTGAAGATGAAGTTTTCAGCAGCTCAGACAAGATGGTTAAAGTTTTTTTTAGCAGGATTTATAATCCTGGATTTTCGCAGAAATCAAGAAAACCAGACTTCTATCAACCCAGGTGACGAACCTAACAGTTGGAACGGTCCGTTTTGTCTAACAGGGTGCAAACAAAACCAGTTCCTTTAACCTCGGTTTGTCTCACCGATTGTGAAAATGAGAACAGTTACAGTAGAACTCAAATGAAAATGCTTAAATCTGTGGGAAGTGTAAGAAGACATTTGAGCTGGTGTGTGACTAAAATTTCAGATTAGAGCGGTCATGAAATGTAATTCTGTTGCTCAGATTTCGAGTTCTGGTGTTGGATAGACAAAGACAGTTCTCCCTTTAGACATCAGGTTTTCTTGTCCTGTTCAGATCCAGTTCACCCAGCAAGGTAACAAACCTCTGATCCCCAGACCTTATGTGCTCTGTCCTGGACCCCCATGCACACTGCCCCCGCCTGCAACTGGGAGCCATAATGATATTTCTCAGTGAGTTCTTTGAACGGGGATGGGATAGGCTCCGGAGTCTCCCTGGCCTTGGCCACTTTCTGAGCCGGACTGGGGGACTTGACAGGTTTGATTATCTTTCTAGCAGAGGATGAGGAGAACTCTTTTTGCAGAGTGGCGAAGGCAGAACCGGCGATGGAAACCTGATCAACCCAAAAAAAGAAAAGAAAGACCCACACCATCATCAGGCTCAGATGAGTTTATTTGGACAGTCTGTGGTCACACAGCAGGTGAAGGATCTATGGGATGTTAGTTTTATTAAAAACTACAACGGGTTCAAACAAAGTGAACTCCAAATGAAGCAGGATTAACAATGGGCAGTAGATGAAGGGAATTTCTTGATTAATAAATGAGATTATGAGCATAAAGACAACGGTTTAATCTTGTTAATGATATTTAAACACTTGTACAACACCTTGGAACTTCAGGCAAGCAGTAATAACCAAAGGCGTGTCTGCTGACCTGCTCATAGTGACGTACACTCACTGATCTGTTACTATTACAGGGTTTGGATTAAGTGTTTTCTGCAATGTTTAACCTTTATCAGAGAGGGATGCCAATGGACAGGAGACAGGTTTCAAGACAAAAAGACCAAATTCAGTGTCCAACTAAGAATCAAAGAAGGGACTTAGCTATTGGTAGGACCTAGTCCTTGATTTGTAGGTAGATGTTGAACCCAAAAAGAGCCGTTTAAGCCAAGTTGGGAGGATTTTGAATGTCGGAGTACTGAACTGTTAACAACACACCAGATAGTGTGTGAAACACAACTTTCTGAAGTGATGCAACCTTTGATAAAATACTCAATGAAAAATAAATTTAAATGTTTAAACAATGAGATCAGCCACATTCCAACAATTAAATCTGTCAGTCAACAGATGTTACCCACAGCTGGCTGTTGACACATCCAGACATGTATGTTTATACAAAGCTACATCATTACCTCCAGCATATACAGTTTATGGTCTGTTCTGGCACTAAGATATAAAAGTTACAGCAGAAACCTGCTAGAAGGTCGACCAAAGAATTGTTGTTTCACAGATTATCCTGAACCTGGACTTGGGACGTAATTTGGTGGAACATTCCTGGATGAGAAATTTAACTTTATGCAACAGGATGGGGTTCTATAACCTGTCACATATTGGTGAGAATAAAATAGATTGTGTTCTTTTTTTAAAACACACAGGTTATTTACTGCTGCTTGCTTCATGCTGCCTCTCTTACCTCCCCACCAGACTCTGGTGTTGGGGCAGAAACTTTAGAAACTGTGAAATGTGGAACTGGGGACAAGGTGAGACCAGTTTCTGTCACGTTCTGTATCTGCAGTAACCAACAGAGTTCAAAGAAGCATTAGCATCTCAGGAAGGTTTCTGTAGCACATCTTTAAATTCAAATGTCAAAAATCATTCTGCATTATTCACTTTGGAAGTTTCTATCGGATTATTTTTTTAAATTCTCATTTTCAGATTCAATGTCTTTGGGCACTGGCAAATAATTTGGTCATGTGTGTTTTTGTATTTATTTTATTTTCTATAGAGTTGTTCATCCATCCATCCATCACCTTTACTCGCGTCTTCCTTTTCGGGTCATGGGGGTCACTGGTGTCCATATCCAGCAGTCACTGTGCAAGAGGCGGGTTACACTTGGACAGATTTCCAGTCCATCACAGGGACACATAGAGACAAATGAGACAAACAACCATTCACTCTCTCTAACACCCAGAGACAATTTAGAGTTACCAATCAGCCTAACATGAATGTTTTTGGTCTGTGGGAGGAAACCGGAGTACCTGGAAAAAACCCCACATATGCACAGAGAACATTCAAACTCCACACAGAATGGCCCCGGGCCGGGATTTGATCCGGCGACCCTCTCGTTGAGAAAACAGCTATACCAACTGAGCCAGCGTCATTCATTCATTCATTCATTCATCCCAAACAAATTTTCTAACAATACAACTTGACTCTTATTCTGCAGTTGAAAATGTTTTGTTTTTTTTCCCCAAAAATTGTAGAAGTCCACATTTTAAACTGGATGAGAAGATATGTTTATACATTGCAGATTATCCCCCCAGTCTTGTTTTTTTAATAAAACAAAGACTGTTTACGGTTCACCTCCTAACCCAACCCACATGATCAGTAAAACTGTAAAACTGTAATGGTTGCATCTTAAAATGTTTCACTGAAACCTCGACTGTTTGAATTGACCAAATGATTTGCCAGTAGCGACCTAAAAGACTGTTTACTGGAACATCCTGAGTAAAATCTGGTCTGTTTGGAGGCCTTTCTGACCTGAGTATGCAGGTCAGCAGTGAACTCCTGAGCAGCACTGAGCATTTGACCAGCCTGCATTCTCGATGGTGTCCATCCGGTTCGATACTGATGATCATCAACGGTAGCAGCAGCCTGCTGCCTTAAACCCACCTCTACAGCCTCTACTTTCTGCTCTTCGATTCGACTGCCCTCAACATGCACAGGCTCACGGGTGCGAGCGACGTCAACGGCAGCCACCACTTTGGCCACCGCCCCAGCTCTTTCCCCACCCCCAGCCTGGAGACAGAACCAGCAGAACATGATGAACTCAGAACATCCAGAACAGGACTGTGGAGCAAAGATCAGCAGGTGGGTGGTATAAATTAGCTCTCTCAGCTTCATCTTAATATTCAGGCCATCTACCATTTCTAAGAAGAAATAAGAAGTTGTCCTAGAATGTGGTTAACATAGATTAGCTAAGATCTAAATCTGTTCATAGGCTTTACGTTAAACTAGACCATCCAGGTCCATAATCTGGATTTAAAACAAGAACAATCAGTGTTCCACTCCTAGAATCTACCCTGTCTCTGTCAAAGACAGAAACGTTACATAGATCAACAATAAATGACCACATGTGCACAAACACCAGTATCAGTGGGGTTTCTGTTTTTGCAGGTTTAAGATAGGAATCTCATCATGAAGACCTGGATCAATCAAGACTTTTTCTTGACTTTTGAAAAAAGATTCATATGTTTGAAAGCTGTAACCTGAGGTAAATAATGGCAAATACTATAATAGAAATTAGAGATGAAACCATCAGGGGTACTGGTGTGTGGACAGTAATGGAAACACTCATTCATGTGTTCTTCAAGCTGTAAAATCTCCTGAAAGTCCACAAAGAACAGTGCTTTCAAGAAACTGCTTGAGGTTTATAATAACAGAACCAAAACAGATAATCAGAAAAACAGTCATATCATAATCAGGAAAAGGACGAAGGAACTGTGAAGATTAACCTGATCCGGGCTTTGTTAGTGTGGGATAGAAAATCAAGTCTTAGTTCTGAATTTGTTGTGTGTTTTTGCTGAAATCACGAGATTTGTTCTCCAGTTGAAGCAGAAACAAGTACTTGTAGTTTTAGCTGAATGTTGGTCCTAAGACCAACAAGGTTTCCTCATAGAAACCAAATTCATTCTTCCATTTTCCTGAGTCTTCTCCATCTAAAACCTCTCAGAGTATCTTACTTGGTTTGGATGAAGATGTTGCTGTGGGATTCCAGTGTTTTCCCCTTTGCAGCCTCCTGAGTGGCAAGGTGGCACTAACTAACGAGCAGCAGCTGTGGCCTATTCTGGTGATGAGCTCAAGAAGTATAAAGGACTGTTGAAGTGTTCACTTCTATGCTGGAAAATTGGATAGCAACTGGTATTTGATACAGCCTTCTTGTGCTTTCCTATAGATAAGAATTATACTAACCAGATTTTCTCTGTGCCCTCCTACTTTGATTCCTGAAGGATCATCCTGGAATTACTTGTTCTCCTACATGTCTAAAAGCTGATACTACCCTAGAACCCTTGGTGCCAATGGCCTTTGGCATAAGCTTGTCCTGCTGCTCCCTTGCCTGTCTTCAATCTGCAACAGTACCCAATACTACTTACCTCATCATCTCCATGTCTGCTTTCAAAACAGATAAAAGACCAACCCACCACAACAGATGAGTCATGAGATTTGGATGAATTAATAATCATGGCCATTCACACTGACAATTGGCTCTGCGACAAACTGAGAAAAGGACTACAATTCCCAGCTGTACTTAATTCTGAGTTCCGTCCAGTGCCAGAAATTCAAACTCCTCAAGCTCATTCACCTGTACCTGAATCAGAGCTTATGCAAGTCGGACGCACTTGCCTTACCCCCGAAGAAAGACAATGATGAATAAATGCAAAGGAATGCATAGTGGTAAAAGTGGACATGTCATTACTCACTGCTAAATGAGACCATTCTCACCAGTAGGCAAGGAGATATTGGTGAGAAATTCTTATTTATTCTCCTGGCTCTGGTTAAAGAAACACAGCTCCATGCTCAGCGGGTCTGAGAAGAGGGTGGCTCAATGGAGAAAATTTTGTTTACAGAACAGCTTGAGTTCTGCCATTATTATTTACAACTTTATATTTTTATATCTATACTGATATCTTTAACTCCTTCCTCACCCTGGCAACTGTTCCCACTTGCCTGAAGACCGCCACCATCATCCCAATTCCTAAGAGCTCTGCAGTGACTGGTCTGAATGACTACTGGTCAGTAGCCCTCATCCTGATAGTCATTGAAAGACTGGTCATGGCCCACATCAAAGCTACCATCAACACACACCAGTATGCATACCACAAGAATCGATCAACAGAGGACATCATCTCCTCTGTGTTCCACACTGCTCTCACCCACCTGGAGCAGAAGGACTCCTACAGTACATCTGTATGCTCTTTGTGAACTTCACATCCACCTTCAACATCAGTATTCCCCAGACCCTGATGGACAAACTACTCACACTAGGACTAAGCCCCTCCCTGTGCAACTGGGTCCTGGATTTCTTAACAAACAGACCACAGTTAGTGGAGATCCACAACTTCTTTTCCTCCACTATAACCCTCAGCACTGGCTCCCCTCAGGGCTGTGTACTGAGCCCCTCCTGTTCACTCTACTCACACATGACTGCACAGCTACCCATCCAGGCTGGCATATTGTAAAGTTTGCAGACGATACAGCAGCGGTTGGATGCATCACAAACAATGATGGGGGAGTGGTGGCACAGAGGTTAGAGAAAATGGGCCTGTGATCAGAAAGTTGTAGGTTCAACTCCTGGTACCGTCTACATCAGAATATGGGTGGAAAAGGTGAAACAACCATATCTGCCTCCACCCTCATTTGCCCCACTCTGGGCCCCTGAGCAAGGCCCTTAACCCCCCCCATCTACTCCCAAAATCAGGTCTCCCTTTAAAATGAATTATCCTGACTCAATGAGATTAACCTGTATAAATAACGGGTAAATGAAAAAAAAAAAAGTCTGGCTACAGGAAACACCTGGAGAACTGGTGCTGGAAGAACAACCGTCACATCAGTGGGAAGAAGACAGAGATGGTCATGAATTTCTAACAGAGCAAACACGCCTACGCCCTCTGAATACAGGAGGATCTGCGGTGGAAGTGGTCTCCAGCTACAGGTACTTGGGTGTGCACCTGAATGACAACCTCAGCTGTGGCAACAACACCACTAGCCCGATCAAGAAAGATCATCAGAGACTCTACTTCCTCAGACGGCTGAGGCGAGCTGGACTAGGAAGCTCAGTCCTCACCTCCTTCTACAGGTGTGCAGTGGAGAGCATCCTGTGCTCCAGCATCAACGTGTGGCATGGAGGCTGCACAGCTGCAGAAAGGAAAGCTTTGCAGAGAGTGGTGAAGGCTGCACAGAAGATGTTGGAGTCAGCCTCCCCACCATCACAGACATCTACACCTCCAGATGCAGGAAGAGGGCCACCTGCATCATGAAGGACCCCATTCACCCAGCACAAACACTTTTTGCCCTGCTCCCCTCAGGCAGAAGGTTGCAGAGCATTAAGTTTAGAACCACTAGACTGAGGAACAGCTTCTACCCTGAGGCTGTTAGACTCATAAATCCCTAACCAGGATAATCATTGTAAAGTGGGGGAAAAATCATTGTGATGTCACTTTAACTGGTAATATGGAAAATCTGTGCCGCTGATTATCTCATGCTGTTGTATTCATTCATATCCATCTACTCACCACAGACTCATGTTCGGGTTGCTGTTGATATGCTGTATTGTTTTACATTATTAGTGTTTAGCATGTATCTTAGATCTTTTCTCTTACTGTATATCTTAGATCCATATATAGTGTTTCTTTTTTCAATTTATATTTTTGCTATTTTTGGATGTAACTGGGATCCTGAGTACATAATTTCATTCCACCTCATGTACCACATGTGATGCGAATGACAGTAAACTTGATTATTTCTACTAAGAAGGAGGATCCCCCCCAAGAAACTGATTTATCTAAGGTGCCTTGATCTGGACCCTTTTTTAGCAAACAAAAGGCTCTGTCCTCATCTCCACACCGGCCGTACATTTGCTCCATCTATCTTCTGGGTGACCCACTACCCACTAGCAGGTTGTACAAACTTTCGGGCCCCAAGAGGGAGACGATGAGAAATGACATCTAGAAGTCTCTAACCTCAGGCATCATTCCCCCTCCACTTTTCCTATGGATCTTTTTCATGGTCAAGGAAGGCAAAACGTTGAGACCTTGTATTGACTACAGAGGTTTAAAACAAATCACCATAAAAAACAAGAGGCCAACTTGAGGCCAACTCAACCTTTGGTTAGTGAAAACAGTTTTTTCTTCTGCACCCATCCTTTGTCATCCTGACCCCATATGACAATTCATCCTTGAGGTGGACACTTCTAAGTCTGGAGTTGGAGCAGTACTCTCTGAGATCTAACAGCAATGACAAGGTGCACCCCTGTGCTTTTTTCTCCTTTTCTCTCACTGGCTAACAAAACTATGAGGTTGGCAATAGAGAAGCGCTTGCTATAATAATCATCCCTAGAAGGATGGTGGCACTGGCTTGATGGCTCAGAGATACCTTTTATCATTTGGACAGATCATAAGAACTTGGTCTACATTCAAAACGCTAAATGGCTAAACTCCAGGCAAGCCCGATGGTCTTGTTTTATTGATGCTTTAACTTTTCCATCATTTATAGACCTGGATACAAGAACATCAACCCAAACATGCTGTCATGACAGTTTTCAGCCTAGAATCATCTGAAGATGGAGGGGAATGTCCTCAAAACCTCCTTTTTCATCTGCCCCCTCACTTGGACCAGAAAGACATCCAGGAGGCTCTGAGGTTAGAACCTGTCTCAGATACTCAACATCAAGTTTGTCTCATCTGGAGCTTTAGCGCATTTTTAGTCCAGAATTAGGTTCTAATAGTGACTGAAGACTTTAATTCATCTCCACTCATGGGACAGGAGTTTGGCACAAAATAAAAGTTAAAGTGACATTAACAAAAATTGTGGAAAACCCACAAAAAAGAGGTTAATGAAAGTGGAATGCTATTAAATTATTTAATAATGGGGTGGAGGATTTTGTTTGTTTTTAAAGGCAAAAAAAATCTGTCTTCATATTTAAACGTAAAAATGTAATTTTTATTTAAAAAGAGAAAGAGGTTAGTAGGACGCTGGAAAAAGCTTCAGTTAATGTTTGGTTTGATATCATCACAAAACTAACTGTGCAAATCTAACGGTTTATTTTGTATATCCATATATCCAACAAGAGAAGTTTAAGAATGGACCCAGATCCAGACTGACTTGAAAACTTGGACCAAAGCAGGACAAAAAAAACTATTAACATTTGGACTCAAAAAGGACTGAGCAATGATCAAAACCTGAACCCATCCAGTAAAACCAGTTCAATGTAGTATGTGTTGGAAAAATGGGCCTTACAAGGTAACAAATGCAAAGACACACACACACACACACACACACACGTAAGTGTGTCTTAATTGTGTAAACTAATTTTCTAAGATATGAAAATGTCAATAAAAAACTGCTTTTTGAATTATCTGGACACAAGTTCTCAGATTTCAGAGAAAACTGTTAGCTGATCTGACACCATCAATCCTAGTGACCTTCTTTCACACAGTCAATATGACCCTCACACACATGGACTTGGGGGTCTAGCCCTTACCTCTCTGACTCCTTTGATTGGCTGATCCCCTCTTTTGGTGGGGTCACCTCCCTGCTTCCATGGTGGCGGTACCTCAGTGGCAGGGGCAGGCTGTTTTCGTGTGGTGATGGGTGACTTCACCGGCCTGATGGGAGAGAGGGGAAGGGTTGAGCTGAGTCTTTTGGTTCTGCGTAATGATTACTACCTGTCATTCAACTGCTCAGTTTCAGACTATGTAAACTAGAGGCTCCACCCACCTGACGGTTGTAGGCGTAGGTGCCTTCACGTGTCTGACAGGTGATGGTGACTGCTGGCGTCCTCCGGTCACCTTGGCAACCAGTGAGGACTGGGTTGGGGACTTGGAAGGGGGTTTAGGTAGAACTTTGGGTGGAGTCTTGTGACCCAAAGTATGAGCCAGCTCAACACCCTCCATCTGCATCTCGATCATGGTGGACGTGGCCTGGAAACTGGCTTCCATCCTCTGAGGAGAGAAAAAGAATTCAGAGTGCGGTAGATAAATTATAGATTAACTTGATGAATATTAGAGACAGATGGAGATCAAACTAAGAAGAACTAAAAGTAAAACAAAAAGATTTTAGAAGTCTGATGTCATGTATTTATGATGAGGCTAAAAATACCACCCTTGAATTAAAAAAATGTTGTCTGAGTTTTTTGTCACAGCTCATGTACCTTTTCCACTCTGGTCTGTCTGGTCTGTGAAATCTGAGCGGTTGAAATCACTGTCTTGGTTTTCTTGGCTGGAACAGGTTCTTCACCTGGACACGATGATTTAGTTTGGTGATGAATTCAATCAAAGAATCAGTAAAAAATTATTATTTTTTAAATCAAGAGTTAGTTCTCACCTTGAACCAGCAGTTCAGCGGTGGACGTGGCCCGTCCGCTGCTGTTGGTGGCTGTCACAGAATATGTCCCAGAATCCTCTGGGAAGGCCTCTGCAATCAGCAGACTGTACAGGTCTCCGTCCTGCAGGATCCTGAAGTCGGCAGAGCTCTGGATCTCAGCTCCCTCCCTGTAGAACTTCACCACAGGTGTGGGGATCCCTGAGACCCGGACATTCAGCCTCACCTGGCTGCCCTGCCTCACCGTGGAGCTTTGCAGTCTCTGGATGAAGGTGGGGGGCGCCGTCTCCGCTGCAGGTGCAAAACGGTAAAAACCCAAGGCTTTTATCTCCGACACTCCAGTTCAACCTGAGATCACACTGACTGCTGTCTGCTGCAGGTAAGATACTGACTGATCAGAACCACTCTAATAAAGCCCCCAGGAAATAGCCCCATGTCCTGTGGTGTACCACATCTGTACCTGGTTTGTGTTATTTTCAGTCACAGATACTTCCTACTGAGACAGGATTTGTAAGACACAATCTCACCTCTCTCTCTCTCTCTCTCTCTCTCTCTCTCTCTCTCTCTCTCTCTCTCTCTCTCTCTCAGTCTCATTCATTCATTTAACCTTTATTTATACAGGTTAGTCTCAGTGGGTCGCGAGGACTCATTTTCAAGAGAGACCTGGGACGCTGCAGGTAATGTCTTGTGAGCGCACGCCGTGACTGCACTGACGTCGTGACATGTAGGAGGAGATACCATAGTCAATAGCTGGTAGGAAAGTAGCAGTTACAAGGTGTTTCCTAGCATTCAGAGTTAAGTATGATCTATTTCTGAAAAAGAAACCGAGTTTTAATTTCAGTTTCTTTATCAAGTTTTCAACATGCTGCTTAAAAGAAATGTGCATCGACCAAAATAGGGAAGTATTAGTATAAATCCACAAACTCAGTAGGAACACCATTCATAGATAAGAGGAAGGACTGCTGGTACCAACTTTCTGTTTGAAAACAGCATTCCTTTGGTTTTATCACCATTTAGCACCAGTTTGAGATGGAACAAATCTGACTGAATGATGCTGACTGCAAACTGTAAAAGCTGGAAAACCTTGGCAACTGTTTTATCAATAAACAACTGTATCATTGACATAGAAATGCAAGGGTGCACCAGGAATGTTCTGACCTACATTACTTATGTACATTGTAAAGAGAGTGTGTGTCCTAAGACTGAGCCTTGTGGTACACCATTATTGACAGTTAAATAACTGGAATAAGTACCATTGTGTCTCACTTGTCTCCTGTCTCACCTGTCCCCATCTCACCTGTAACAAGGAGTTCAGCAGTGCTCGTGGCTTGTCCAGCACCGTTGGTGGCTCTGACAGAGAAGCGTCCGCTGTGTGCGGCGGTCACAGCGGGGATCCTCAGAACAGCGCGGCCATCGCTGAACGAGATCTGAACGCCGGGCAGAGCGGCGGTGGAAAGAACCTGGCCATCACGAAACCAGCTCACCTCAGGAACTGGAGAACCTGCAGAAGAGGACCAGGATGTTATTGGAGAACCCACAGACGGTCTCGTCCTCTGATCGTTGGGACTCATTCTTACCACTAACTTGAGCCTCGAACGTCGCGGCACTACCCTCAAGTGCCACGACGCTCTGAAGCGGCTGAGTGAACGTCGGCGCCTGTGTGGACATGTTGGTCGGCACCCTGAAACAGAGATGAAAGGATTAATCCTATCCTACAAGACCCCTTCCTGTTGTGTTCTGACCATAAATTTCAGATATGTCGTTACAGTGAAGAATTTAAACTTTTAAATATTTATTATTTCAAACTAAACTGTTTCGATCGTCAGAGAACCTCAGCAGCTTTGGACCACAGAACAAAATGAAGAGGTTCTCTGTTTGTCAGACATGTCCACAGACTGGCAGCTGCTGATTGGCTCCTGCATTGGGTGGTTTTAAAGTTCTGGGTCCCTGCAGTCTGACAGCAGTTCTCAAACGTCTGATTTAATAAGCATCTGTTGTACATTTTGCACCAACCAATACTTGTAAATAATTCACTGAAGCTGTAGGAGTGTGCTGAATTTTTTTTGTGTTCTGTTTTCTCCTGTTTTTGTTGATTTGGTCAAATTAATTGAATGTTTCAGGTTATGGGGAGATATTACAGTTATGGGGAGCAATTTGTTGGGGCAAGGGTGAGTTTTGTTTTTGTTTTGGTCTTTGGATTCCTGAAGTTGCCTCGGTTTGTGCATTTTTATGTGCGCAATATAAAGATAATTACTTTGGTCGAGTTGTTTTGGAACAAGTTTCACATTAACTGATACAGGTACTACTACCAGCTTCTCCTTACAGTTCAGCTCCCTTTTCACCACAACGGACCGGCACAGACTCCACAATACTGCAGAAGCTGCACCAATCCGTCTGTTAATCTCACATTCCATTCTTCTCTCACTCGTGAACAAAACTCCAAGATATTTGAACTCCTCCACTTGAGGCAGAACCTCAGAGCAATCCATCCTTTTCTGACTGAGGACCATGGCCTCAGATCTGGAGGTTCTGATTCTCATCCCAGCCGCTTCTCACTTGGCTGCGAACCGCTCCAGTGAGAGCTGAAGATCACGGCACAAAGACGCCAACAGAACCACATCATCCGCAAATAGAAGAGATGGAATCCTGAGGCCACCGAACCGAACTCCTTCCATACCTTGGCTGCACCGAGAAATCCTGTCCATAAAAGTTATGAACAGAACCAGTGACAATGGGCAGCACTGGCAGAGTCCAACTCCCACCCTGAAGGGGTCCGACTTACTACCGACAATGTGAACCAAACTCTCGCACTGCCCATAGAAACGAGCCCCAAATCCCATACTTGCGGAGCACCCTCCCACATTATACCCCAAGAAACACAGTCGAACACCTTCTCCAAGTCCACTAAACACGTAGACTGGATGGGCAAACTCCCATGAGCCCTCGAGGTCCCTAGTGAGGGTAAAGAGCTGGTCCTGTGTTCCACGGCCAGGACAGGACTTGCATTGTTCCTCCTGGATCTCAGGTTCAACCAACGATCTGACTCGCTTCTCCACTGCCTGACGACATCACTGGTTCAGATCTACAGCACCCACTGAGCACAGTGTTGGTAAAGTTCAGTCTTTACACATGTTTAATGTATTTAGATACATTTCTTTTGACTTGAGTTCTTACCTAAACTTCCTGTTTAGATTTTTACAAACCAGTTGTCTCAAATATTCACCACAGAATATCTTTCAGATATAAAGCTTGCTCGTTTCATCAGTTCAGCTTTGAATGGGGTCTTAAATTTCCTCATAAATCTTCTAACAGGGCTCTAGAGCTATGTTTCAGAACTTTTTCTATACATTTATGTATTTATATACGTATTTATGTGTATTTCTTATGTGTATGTATGTATATATATATCCAACACACCTGATTCGGTAACTTAATTACTTCCAAGTTCTGCAGGAGCCTGTAAATCACACATTCATTCAAATCAGGTGTGTAAAAGCAGGAAAACAACTAAAACATGCAGGATGGTGTTCCTCAAGGACCAGTGTTGGGAACCATGGTTTAGAGAAGCTGCAGCTGATACAGTTTTTGATGAGTGCCCTGAGACAACTTCATTGTGATTTGGCGCTATATAAATAAACTGAATTGAATTGCATGATCTACCAGCAGGGCTGCTTTAAGTCCTGCAGGTCCACAGTTAGTCCTTCAGGTCTACATTTAGTCCTGCATGTCTGCAGATACTGGTTCTGTTTTCCGGTGTCACATTTTAATTTCAAGAACTCCTCTGAACTGTTTTATAGACCATTACATAATCAGAATACTAATGTTTTTTTTATAAAAAAAAAACTTTAATATTTCTGATCAGAGTAGAAAATATTCATCATCCTGGTTTTAATAAACAAGACGCAGGTTTTTCATCTTAAAACAAACAAAAGAATTAAACTTACTGATTTCAAACAGGTGTTTTTTTTTAAACTGCAAATAAATTCATAAATAAACGACTTTGATTCTGTTGGCCCAAAGTGAACTCAAAATTTTTACATAAAACCATAAAAACCTGATTGATCAGAAAGTTCCAGTAAATAAACCGTCAGAATCACCAAGTCCTGCTGGGCTTACAGAACGTCTTGCTTATAATGAAACCCAGAACCGGTTCAGAGGAGGGTTCTGACAGAATCCAAGATAAGGCTGGATCAGCTCAGAACTTCCTCCGCACAGTTTAGTCATCATAATGTGGGTTAACAGTTTGGTCCTACTCTGAATGAGACCCTGAACGCCTCATCAGAACTTATCTGAAATCATTTGATCCAAGGTCAGATGGGATCAGTAATCAATAATCAAGACAAATAAGATCAGGCTGATCCAGAACCAGATGAACCCAGCTGGTATTTTCAGGGCTGAGCGACAGATAAGGCAGGAACTATAAATACACCCCCCCTCCCCCCGGGGCCAGTTTGATTGACAGACACATGTGGACCATAGCTGAAGGTGGAACTGATATCTGTGCTGCTGATTCCCTTAAAAAGCCATGCGCCCCAGCTGACGGGCCACTCTCATGCTCTCAGCAGCTATTCTTGGCCTTCCACAGACCCCCACAACCTGCTGGATCCAAAAATACATTACCACACTAAAACCCTTACAAACATCATCAAAACCTGGGTCCTGAGTCCAGGGTCCTGAGTGTGACCCTCAGAAACCAGCACCCGCAGGCCGAACGGGACCCAGGCAGGAACTACTCACTTGTTTCCACAAGAGTGCCTGGCACTGATGGGACGGGGCCCGGCTGACTAACGAGCTGCAGTCCCCTGATCCAGATCGGTGTGAGCAGAAAAGTCCAAAGTGAGAACGGTGGAGCCTCAAAGTCCTCCCTGACAAAAACAAAACTACACAGAGACGAGCCGTGTAGTTTTGTTCCCCTGCAGTCCCTCCACCCGAGGCGAGGCTGGGAATGCTCCAACTGCTCAGGAGGGCCCACACGGGGCCGTAGGCTTTTATAGCAGGGGGGGCCACCCGCATCGCCACCGAACTGACACTCCCCATTGGCTGCTGGGACACCAGGGGGGCATGATGGGAGCCGGCAGCCACTTATGAGTGTGTCAGTCAGCTGATGACCGGGCTTTGATTGGGAACCGTCTAAGATCCTGAGCCTGACGAGGACTTGCAGAACGAGATCTTTGTCGGACTCAGACAGAAGACCTTTCTCTGGGTGGACGTCTCAAACGTCCACGACTCAATAAAGAAGTGCTGACAGAGGAGGACAAGGCTGTCCATGTCAGTCAACACTCCCACCTCCGTCCAGCACCAGCTGGTTGTTACGCCACACCAAGCAGCTCTGTTTATCTAACGGCAAGAGACAAGTTCTGACCCGACGGCTCGCTCCAAGGTTCTGATCAGATCCAAAACTTTGACTGAAATCTCTAAACATCAGAAACCTGAAGCAGAACCTGAGGGTGGACTTTCTGAGATCCTGCAGGTCCTCAAACTTCTTTCAGTCTGAGAACCTACCGGTCCCTGATGGTTCTGAACGTTCACCTGATGTCTTCTGGACCTGTCATCTCTGCCGGCTGGTTTCTGAGCAGATCTCCTGAAGTCGACCTTTCAAACTTTGTTCTTATTTCACACAAATGTTGACTGTAGACTAAGTTCATGATCTCAAGGTTGGAACTCTGATTTATTTCTATGTTAAATTCTGTTCAAACGTCCACGTATCATTCTGAGTTTATAAATAATTAATCCATGATGAATGAGTTCCAGGTTTTTTCATTCAACCTTTATTTAGACAGGTTAGTCCCATTGAGCCTCGAGGACTCATCTACAAGAGAGACCTGATTTCAACAAAGAATGATGACAACAATGGACAATCGTAAAAAAGGCATACAGCTTTTAAAAAAATTGTTTTTAACGATTTAAAATAAGATGGCAAAAAAGTAACAAAAACAGCTAGATTCTAAGGCGAATGTATAAAACTAAAAACAGGAACATGTCAGCATCGGTCCAGGCCAGGAGTCCACCAGATTATTAAAGCCCCTTAGAGAGGTCAAGGTCGAGAGCTGCAGATCTTTTTGTAAGATGTTCCAGGAAACTGGAGCGGAGTAGTCTGGCACCCTCGTCACTGAGAGGCAGTGCTTCGACCAACTGTGCCACCGTGCGGCCTGATGACTGGACTGTTGACCAAAACAACTTTTTGGTGACTGTTCATGGTTTATTGTAATACCAGAAATCTCCTGCAGAGGGCGACAGTGAGCTGAGCGTTGTGAGGACAGCGGTTAGATTTCTGACAATAAAATGTTTTAACATTAAAAAAAAGGAGGAAAAAAGGGAAAAAGGAAGTAAATTAGAAAAAAAATGTTTTCACTTGATACAAAAAAGAAAAGAAATGTGTTAAACAGTAAAATGTTAATTAGTTTTCTAAAAAAGTTAAATCTGGTCCATTCAAAAAAACAAAACAAAGCAAATGTCCAGAGGACCAGATTTAACTTTTTTAGATTTTTCTACCTGGATTATTGAGCATGCATCAGGATGTTAATTAGTTTTGTTTTGTTTCACATAGTTTGACAAACTAGAACGTTTAAAATTGTGTTTTATCAGTAATTTAAGAAACAATTTTAAAGGAGCAGCACAACTGGTAGAGCTGCTGCCTCTCAGCAAGCAGGTCCCTGGTTCAAATCCCGGTCCGGGGGCCCTTCTGGGTGGAGTTTGCATGTTCTCTCTGTGTATGTGTGGGTTTTTTCCCACAGACCAAAAACATGCATGTTAGGCTGACTGGTAACTCTAAATTGTCCCTAGGTGTGAGTGAGAGAGTGAATGGTTGTTTGTCTCGTTTGTCTCTATGTGTCCCTGTGATGGACTGGAGACCTGTCCAGGGTGTACCCCGCCCCTCGCACAGTGATTGCTGGACATGGGCACTGGCGACCCCCATGACCCAAAATGGAAGAAGCGGGTAAAAGATAATGGACGGAATTTTAAAGGATAAAAAACTAAACAGCCAGTTGTAGTTTTTTTTTTTTTTTGATGGGGGGGGGGGGGGGGGATGTCTTGGATGACAGGCAGTTCAGCAGCTGAATAAGCTTGAAAAGTGAAGCAGTGCTTTCCTGCTGAGCCCAGGTGGGGTCAGTCTCAGCTGCAGGGACACAGGGTGTCCAGCAGGGGGCAGAGAAGCTGCTCAGTCAAACGTTCGGATGCTCCTTCAGGGAAGGTTTGTTTCATTGGGCCTTCAGAACCAGTCGAGTTCGGTTCAGATTATCATAATATTTTTTTTAATAAATCAGAAATGTGCACATTAGATTAGACTAAATGTGTTGACTCTATGTGTCCCTGTAACTGACTGGACACCTGTCCAGGTGTCCCCTGCCTCTCAACCAATGACAGACCCCAGGCCTGTTCTGCGGCTTCAGGAAGTAGTCAGGCCCCGTTCAGTTTGATCAATGTTTATAGGAACATACAGAATATATTTCACTCACGGCTGGTTTTGAACTTCATGTAAACATGTCAGAGTTATCTAAACATGTTGATGCATCAAGATAAAAATAAACTACAGATCAACAAAAACTGTCAAATACTGAAATTACATGAACTCACCAGGAAACTTGTTCATCTACACTTTACATTAAAAAATACCTTTTGAAGTCGGGTCAGGTCCCTGCTGGATCGGAGTTCTGGTTCCTGTTAGAACAGAGACCTGGTTCCTGTTGGATCAGAACCTTTCAGAGGTTCTGTTGAGGGTGTTAATCCAGCCGGGCTGACTGAAGGTGTCCACTCAAGGATCCAGAGTTCTGTTTTATGGTTTGATGGAGTTTCTGTCATGAAGTTTTAATGACCTCCAGAATTCTTACAGATTCATTCAACCTTTATTTCTACAGGTTAGTCAGGACGACTCATTTACAAGAGAGACCTGTTTTAGACAAGACAACATATAAAGTACAGAACCAAGTGTATCATCTGCATAGAGGGATGCATCAGGAAGGTTTTCACTTATATTACTTATATAAATTGTAAAAAGAGTGGGCCCTACAATTAAGCCTTGTGGAACACCATTAGTGACCGTTAGGTAGTTAGATGAACACAATGGCTCTGACCTGACAGTTTGAAAACCAATCAACAGTGTGATCTGAGAAACCAATATCTGAGAGCTTGTGGCATAAGATGATCAGGATTTAGAGTTTTTAAAGATTTTAGTTTCTGATCCATGAAACTGATCTAGTCAGATTGACTAGATCAGTCGTTTGTTTCTGGAGGATGGAGGAAACATTCTGTTTATATCAGAGTTCAGTTCTGTCTGCTGAGGTGTTCAGCATGTGAACACAAACATCCTGGGATTGGTATAATTCCTGAGTCACCACTGCTATCAGCTGTCCTCAAGTCAGCAGTCTGCAGCTTACACAGGAAGTGACCTCAGAACCTGGCCTGGGTCGTATGACTACTCTGTACCTAAAGACCAGTCCAATCTTTGGTCCAGCAGCATTTTCAGCACCGAACACCCGCACAGATTGAGGACCCTCAATCTTCATTTTGTGTCCAGTTGTGTCAAGATTTCATCGGGTTTCTGCATCTGCCTTAGTGTTTAACAGAACCATCATCTGGTACCAAAGAGACACCAGATTACTGAACTCTGGAGACTCATAGTCTGAAGCAGAACTTGATGGTTCTGAACCCTACAGATGTGGTTTATAAAAACCAGACAGAACCAAAAACTACCCATTCTAACTAGTTTGAACCCCATCATATGTGAACCCGTCTCAGACTGATCCAGATTGTTCGGATCTTATAAAAGCTCGTTTCACATGTGAACATGATCAGCTGAACCTTTCAAAAGATGTTTCATGTGTCAGAAAAAAAAAGCAGAAGTGGAAGATCTTTGAAAAGAACTTGTGTTTCTTCCTGTTGAAGCCTTCAGGACTAGAAGTCCCTCTGACCTGAGAACCTGCTCAGGTGTCTGCAGGATTTTAGGTTCATGCTCACAGAAACGGGTTCCTGAAGGTCTCCTCAAACTCACCGCAACAACCAGATAAGGCTTTCTCCGACCACGTTGAAGGTTTTTCTTGTTTCCTCGATGACTGATCAACCTGCAGCTCAGATTAAAGTTTAATCCGTGGACGTTCGTCTTTAACTCAGCTGCTGAGAGGTTTTTAATCTGAGAACAGATGTTGAGCTGGAAGTCACAGCTGCTCACGAGTTGTGTCGATCAGAGACACAGGTTTACAAAGAGGGGGCTATGTGACAATATGTTTAACGAGGAGGGGGTCATGTGACTAAATGCTATAAGTGAGTATATGTTTAACTGTATACACCAAATGCTATATACTATATAAATACTAATGTTTAATGAGGAGGGGGTCATGCACCTAAATGGTTACTGAGGAGGGGGTCATGTGACTAAATGTTTAACGAGGAGGGGGTCATGT